ACAACATCGACTGTCCAACCTTGTGAAGCGTTAATAAAGTAAATAATAGTTGTATGTGGTAAAAATGTTTGTGGTATTAAATGCTAACTTAGCATGATGCTATAAACACGTTGGCCTATAGTCCCGTTTGCAACCAGGCCTACTCTACTGTTGTAATAACGTTAAGCTTAGATAGGTCAATAGATTATCAGACTCGGTAACAATACTGATTTGTGTTACCAAAGCTGATCATCTAATTGACCTAAGGTTAGCGTATATGCTGTGATGCTAACCAGCACTTAGCATGATGCTAGTGTACTGTTGTGTACTGTTGTATTATCTTGGAAATATAAGTAGGCCTGCCCTACATACTGTAACTTAATCAAATAATATGGTATGGATTCGGATAGACAACATGGCTAGCTTGGTTGGTTGAATTGAGTAATAAGATGTGCGGTACTGATTAAGGTTGTAACTGTAACAGTTTGTAACTACTAGTTGTAATGAACCAGACGAGAGACGGACGCATCCTTTCAGTAAATGTCGGCTGCTAATCAATATGTAAAAATAACACTTCGGATGGGTCTTCTATAATTATGTAACATTAGTTATTGCATCATCAGAAAAGATGAGCTGGCAGGATTCTGCAGCATTGACTGTTTCTATGATGCTGGAGGCACCTTCCAAGAATAAAATGTTTGTTTAATAAAGACTTTCCTCTTTGTATGTACTGTATATATTTTTTTATTAATCTTACCACCAGACACAACATGAACAAATGAATGATACACATCAGGACAGTAACTTAAACTTCAGTATTTTAGGTGTACAGAAACCTCTATTCATGTTGTTAAATGATATATACAGCAATATCTTCCATAAAACGTAGTTGATTGATTTGAATAATAATTACTACCATTGCACAAACAGTGAAAAATATATGCCTACAATTGATGAATTTGTCTTCTCTGTGGGTTGTATACTCTTCATTCTTTATGCAAATTAATTATAATTATTATTTTTCAAAGTTCGTTTGATTCATTCAAAGCATTAAAATAAATGAGAAACAGAGCGTCATATACCTTTAAGAAATACGTGGGGGCGGGGTTCATAACCCTTTAGGAAACGCCCCTATACGATCCGCCCCTATACGATCCGCCTCCTTGCTGCGGTCTGCAGCCAGACTCGATTATTGATCGGGCAGAGCTGCAGATCGGGTAGTGACAGTCACTACCCGATCTGCAGCTCTGCCCGATCTGCAGTGCGCATGTGCGAGATGGTCCGCCATATTGGACAACTCCGTACGGCAACCCAAGAAGGACACTTGACACAGTGGCTTTTAGCAAAGCTCAAAAATAAAACTCGAGAGAGATGAGTTATTGTTATTACAACGTGACTTCACTATTATTTAACAACTCTTTTTAGTGGGTTCTTTTATTTGGGGTTAAGTACATTGTCAGAATAAGTGAGAAATGAATTTAACTTATTTTAGACAGCTATCATACTGAATACATATTTACTGTGAATGTATGCAAAATGTATGGCATATAGCTGTCTAACAGAAGTTAAATCCATTTCTCATTTATTCTGACAATGTACTTAACCCCAAATAAAATAACTCAATGAAAAGAGTTGTTAAATACTAGTGAAGTCACGTTGTAATAACAATAACTCATCTCTCTCGAGTTTTCTTTTTGAGCTTTGCCAAAAGCCACTGTGTCAAGTGTCCTTCTTGGGTTGCCGTCCGGAGTTCTCCAATATGGCGGACCATCTCCCACATGCGCACTGCAGATCGGGTAGTGACAGCCATCACAACAGTCGGCCGTTCACGGAAATAACCGATTATGACCGATAAATTATATCATGAAAGTTACGGTGCTTATTAAGCATTTTAAAACGTATGTGGTAAGTTGCCAAAGTGCTTTTTTCTGAACGTTCATCAGTATTATAATCAAAAAGAGAAATATGAACGTTAGTTTTTACTGAAATGATCAAATAAAGTCAACATCTCACAGTCTTTACTGAGCTGTGTGGGGTTTGTTCAACTTTTAAAAGATGTTTGAATGGTGATGTACACAGTGATAGATGTTAAGGACTAACGTTTATAATAAATACATTTGTATTGATTTTAAGATATTTTCATACAATCATACGTATTGGGATCATTTGTATTAATGTGGACCGGAGGGAGAGGGAGACGAGCATAAGTTTCACTTTCCTTTTTTATTTCAATTCCAACTTTGGTCATGAAGAATATGTTTCTCTGTTGTCCACGTTCATAAAGCATAAAACAACAGCATCAGAGCACGGTGCAGAGTCTCTCGATGAGTTTACAGTAGTCCCTCGTTCTTATTAAACATCCATGTTGTAGTCCGCTGTATAGAAAACTGTAGTTTCCATAGTTTCCCCACAGCAGCAGACGCACATTCATGACGTCCGCTGGCGCATCATAAAGACGTCGGATAGTGAAAGTGCATTCGGATTCTCTAAAGTACCGCGGTCTCTTCTCCTAAGTCCTTTTGAATTCTCCTATCCACTATCCCTTAACCCCGTGGCGTTTCACTCAGAGGTCAAGGAATAGGAGATAGGGTTAGAATTTAGGAGCTGATTTTTGGATTATCGGAACGCAACCCAGGCAGTTCAGAGAGAATCAAAGGAAGGCAGGCAGGCAGCTTTGCATGACATTCTTCTGGACGTGTTTCATTGTGGTGATAGTGAGGGTAGTCAATCGTTTTGTTGACAAGACAGTAGTGACGGCCATCTTGGTGACGTGTGTTGTTCTGCGAGACCAGAGATGTAGTTCATCGAGCGTTTCACACAAACAAATGTGTTACTTCACAGTTTTACAACACATTTTATTTTTTTGACTTGCAAAAATTATCTTTTAAATTGACAAACATCATATATATATATATATATATATATATATATATATATATATTAGGGCTGTCAAGTTAACGCAAAAAAAAATTAACGCCACTAATTATTTTAACGCGATTAACGCATGTTTATTTTTTTTCCTCGGCCGCCCCGTAGTTTCAGAGCGCATCGAGTTTAAAATACCATCTACAAGCTGATGCTGACAGCCCCGCTCCTGCCGCCCGCTTGTGGCAGACCACACTTCCACGCTCACCGGCAGGCACCAGGAGGTATGTGTGTGTATGTGTGGCCCGAGCGAGCGAGAGAGAGACCTTACGTGCATTGTTGTTGTTAGCATCTGGTGCTAGCTAGCTGCGCTAACGGATATACGGAGCTGTTTAAATGAAAACAGAGGAGCGACATTTCGTCACAACTGCGCAGAGCACTTGACTTTATGCAGGAAGCCAGACAGTGGGACATTGTACGAAAAGTCAGCACACTCAGCATGGATAGTGCGCGACATGATTGCAGCGTCCAGGCAGCTCCCGTTCGAGCATATGCCTTGAGTTGCACATAGCTCTCCCACACACACACACACACACACACACACACACACACACACACACACACACACACACACACACACACACACACACACACACACACACCACACACACACACACACACACACACACACACACACACACACACACACACACACACACACACACACACACACACACACACACACACACACACACACACACACACACACACACACACACACACACACACACACACACACACACACAACACACACACACACACACACACACACACACACACACACACACAACACACACACACACACACACACACACACACACACACACACACACACACACACACACTTTGTATTGTATTATTGTATGAGAGGTTCCAGGTTGAATTGAGGCGAATATTTGTAATGTTCAGAGGTTGTTGTGTTTAATATTCATGAGAATATTTGTCATTGTTCAAATGATAATAAACATTAGCATAAAGCATATTTGTCCACTCATATGTTGATAAGAGTATTAAAAACTTGAAAAATATTCCTCTAAGGTACATTTAGAACAGATCAAAAATGTGCGATTAATTTGCGATTAACTATGGACAATCATGCGATTAAATATTTTAATCGACTGACAGCCCTAATATATATATATATATTATTTAATAGTTTAACATTTATTTTCTTGCTGTTTATAATTATCATTTATTTATATGTATTCTTAGTTGACTTCATGAGTTAAAGTAGTTTCTATGCTTTTATTTTGAAGGCATGTTTTGGGCACTGGGTGATTAGAGCACCTGGTGTAATTGTATATATTGGAGACAGGTGGGTGGTGGGAGCCAGAGCACTAGTAGTCGGCAAACGTTTTTTTTTACCAGGGTGTTTCAAGCCAGCAAAAGGAAAGCCATAGGAAAGGCTTAAGGAAAAGGGATATAGGAAACCTGTTTTTTGTACTTTGTTATCGGAATAAACTGCACAAATGGAGAATCTTGTCTGGACCTGGATCATTGCCCTGCGTAAGATCCGCTAACGAGTGCCTCAGCGGCTGTATTATTTTAAGTTAATTATCTGTTTTATTTCTATATGATTTTGGCCGCTACATGTGTAATTCGTGGCACAATTCAAACGGGATCGAAAGATAATCTTTCTCTCTCCATTGACTTCAATACATAATTTTTCCGAAATAAGGTCCCATGGAGGTCCACCGGAAGGGGAGGGACTTCGCCACTCGATAGGCATGCCAACTTGATGCTCTGCTCACAGATGAGCATACAAAACTGTTGAGATGATGACGACCAGTATGTGTGTGTATATCTTTTTCTTTGTGGGGGTCTGCCCCCAAAAAACAGTTTTAAGTCCTGAGAAAGTCAAATAAGACGGTGTGTAAAACTACACTGCCCAGCATATACTTCTGCCAGGGGATGCCACCCCTCAAAATCTCCTGCCACTCCATGAATATTTTTGAAAAATGTCTATGCACACGTTATTATTATTATTTTTTTTAAATTTGTAATCATTTCTTTTTATTTGTAATCATCTCGCGACCCCCACTTTGGGAACCCCTGATCTATACTACATATATAAACACACACACACACACACACACCTGTTGCAGCATCTCCTCTGTGGCATTGAGTTTCTCTCTGTGCTCTTCCAAACACAGGTCCAGGTCTCTGATCTTTTCTCCCTGAGCCTCCACCTGGTCTGTCAGCACGCTCACCTGCGAGGAACCAAGAAGTCACTCAATGCAAAAGAAAAGTAAGATTGTATTTCTACCTAACATGAATATATATGAAAAACGTGGTTCTTTATTTTATAACTGCTAGATGGTTACCTGAAGGACCAGAGACTCCTTATCAGTTTCGATTCTGGAAAGCCTCTCCTGGTAGTGGTCGCCACCGCTCAGAGAGATGTGCCCGTTAGACTGCAGGGCGACAGTAAATGTGGATTAAAAAAGAACCATGAGAGAACTGACATTTTAAAGAGCAGACAAGGGTAAGGGAGTCGGTACAGGTAAGTTAATAATTCTGCTGATAACAACCTTAGGAAGGTTTCAGCGCCTAACACTGATCTCAGATTAAACTGTCTGTGCTGCTTTACAAACAAAACCTTACATGGCTGAGAAGAAGGCTCTCATTCACACTGCAGTGCACAGAGTGACTTACAGCATTACACACAAACTCTGGCATTTATCTGGCCTGCAGCCCATCGCTCTCCCAAACAACGCTCTGGTTCCCAAGAAGTCAGCGTGTTCCTTGCAGCACACAGGCTGGGACATTTACAACACTAGCATTTCATTTTGCATTCCCAGGGAACTCAGCAGAGGAAGATAGCCTATCCTTTGCTTAGCAAACAAGTCGCTCGCCTACTTTCACACAGGACTGTTTGCCCAAGATTGTCTACAGTCATACAGTGTTAATGCAGCAGGCTGAGTGAGCACAACCAGAAGCAAACCAGATGTGCTAAAGCATGTTTTCAGCACAACCATCACAGACAAGACCTCCTCCACGGTTACGCAACTTCAACTGATTTAGATGCTGAAAGTGTTCCTTACTCCAGTTCCAGATTTTATCCAGATAAATCTGTTATGTGACAGAACCAATAGACTGACCTGACACCAGGCTACAGTATTCTGATGAGAAGATGTTACTGTACTTTGTGATCTTCACACTAAAGCACAGTTTTGATCTCGGCTAATGATGATGATGATCTGATCGGTTCAATGTTTCTAATGCTGCTTTTTTTTTAACAGATTTCAGAGTCTTATGCAGCTTGTTTCCTCCATGAACAAATCTTACCAGGTGACCTTGGAGCCACTCCACCAGACTGTCAGCTGTGGAGTCGGGGATCTGGCAGCGTAGACTTTCCCTTTCATCGGTGTCCATCAACTCCAGAACGCTACTGAGGTCTTCCAAAAGGTGAAGCGCCCGCAGGCTGCCCATGAAGGGAGAGGTAGGAGACTGGCAGTCATACATCCCATTGGAGTAGTCCAGAGCCTTGGAGCCTGAGCAGAAGTATAAATGACGAGGCAAACATTAGGAGGAGCTATAATCCAAAAAAAGACACGTATGTACTAAATCTAATACTTCACTAGAAAGTATATTCTCATGTACTTCCTAAAACTACTGCTCTTAACAGTACAGAGTTTTGCAATAAAGTAAAGATTTCTTGTGAAATACAAGCGACTTGACTTTTGATACTTCCCTTTTCCTATTATTAACAATGGTATGTACTGCCATCATAGGCAGACTGCTATGAAGTATAGGTCTAAAGTGAATTACATAATCATGTCATTCGGCTTCACTCTGACTTCCGATCCTCTAAGCCTAAGGCCACATCCATTTGCGACACTAAAGAATGAGGTAATAAAATGGTCTATTGAGACACGATATCATTTGGTGTTTACATTGTATAACATAGCTACAAGCCACGCAGCCTAGCACTGACATCACCTGATGTCCATTTAAAATGTCAGCGCTGCTATAAAGCATAACACTAGACAAAGCCTTATCAATGTTAACTCAACATGGAAGCGTTACACAACAGACACTGTGCTGATTTATGCTCTTACACAGCTGTAAAAACAGGAATTACCACATGGCTGCTTAAATATTTATAATACTAAGTTTATACTTAATTCTATAACAACACTTTACCTGCTATAATGCCATCCATCTGCTCCAGGGCGGCGGCCAACATGTCGCTGGCATCAGCCATCATCTTTAGTCACTGATTAACCTGAAGGAAACAATGAAACCGTAAAAAAAGAGAAAAAGGCTCAGGTTTAAAATCTGTTTTCTAACAGTATTTTAGTCATTTTTAAATAACAAAAAAAGCATCACAATACAGATGTTGCACTGATGATCATAGCTGAAAATGCACATTATTCAAAAGTCATATAAAGTGCTCTTATATATAAAAGCAGCTCCTAAAAATATCTACATTGGTAGTCTAACAAGTAGTAACAAAGTAAAAACAAGCAATCTCACATTCAACAGAAAGGAATTTTAGATTAAAAACATCCGTGATTGTTATGACTATTACCCCGCAGATAATCAGTTTAGTCTATGGAAACAAATCCTTGTGACAGCAGCTGCTGTGTGCTCAAGATGTGAATATAAACATTGTAGGAAGAGGACAAATCCAGCTAAATACAGTCGTACTCAACTTTCTAGACAAAGAGCGCCCATGTTGGCGTTACGCATACAGTATGATTACAGAAGGTTCCCACCCAGGAATTACACTGCAACTGCAGAACATCCTCAACAACCATATGCCAAAAAAGTGTTTGTGGGATGGGTTTGACTGAACTGACTGAATGATATGTCAGAAAGCAAAGAAACATCATAACCAGGGATCTGTGACAGCTAAAGGCACACAAGAGTGAAACATAAACGTCTAAAAAGGAAGTGATAAACGCTCCATGCTGCATAGATCTCATGTAAATGTGTCAGCATACGTGATGAATAATGCGATACAAAATATCAATCAGGCCATTAACCTTATTGGCCCCATCAATGTCCTGCCAAATGGACACTGGACACACTGTTCGGCGCAGAGATACATTTTAGTGTCCAAGCCTTGGACATCTGCCCAGGCAGCACAACGGATCTATTTTCTTTGGACGTTTAATCAAAAGGCTCTGCTGTATATACAGGCATGCACAGGCACGTCCCTTTTTCTTTTCATATCGGCTGCCACACATCCTGGGAGTGCCCCACAGTGGGACGTAGCCCCATTTACAAACTTTATGGAAACCACCCACAGACCTAACACTGTTATTTAAGCATTCCTGTGGGCATATTTTCCAATTTGTGTAAAATAAGCATGCACTAAAAACATAGGATCTCCACAACACACGCACAGTAGGCTGAGAGGAGATGAGAGGAACCAGCATGCCATCAGTCAGCTCCAGAGTAAATGCTGAGTGGTTTCCAACAGTAGGGATCTGAAGGGGGGTCAAAATGCCTCTCAGACGGCTCGTCTCACTTATTGGACAAGCAGACGTACACCATGACATTTAAACCATTGTTAATGTTTTGGGAGCATTAGCAGGTTGTAGGTTAGGGAACAGTGTGCTCAAATAACTTGAAGAATTTAAAAGATGTCATTTCAATGGGTGTGTTTCAGAGGGGACCTAAATATATCAGGCCTATGAAAATGGTACATTCAGCAGTAGGAATGCCCCATTTGTGGCATCTGAGTGACATTTGCACTTAATAGAAATATAGTCATATCAACATTATCTTTGGATAAAATATCAAAACCGTAACCAAAAAAGTTGTTTATTAACCCAATTATTTTTTGTTTTGGTTTATAGTATATTCTAAATGTCTTCATACTGGAGGAGTATCAACTGCTGGTATTTTGTGTGTGTGTGTGTGTGTGTGTGTGTGTGTGTGTGTGTGTGTGTGTGTGTGTGTGTGTGTGTGTGTGTGTGTGTGTGTGTGTGTGTGTGTGTGTGTGTGTGTGTGTGTTATTCACAGCTCAGGCTAAGAAAGAGCTGGCCAAACTGTATACAGTTATGTCCTTCAGGCCAATACATGTGTACAGTACACACTGAGGCAAATGTTGTGCAACAAGAAGGAGAAAAATAGTTGGCGTAGACTTGCTTAAATCCATGTGATGGTTTTACTTTTTTCCAGACTGACGTTTCTTATTTTAAAAACTACAATCTACATCAGATTCAGGGCAGGAAATAGGACTTAAAGGAGCTTAAAGAAATCACTACACTCCCACAACAGATGCAGTGGTCCAGTCTTTAAAGCACAGACACATTTTGGATCATGATGACTCAAACTGGAATGGAGGCCTGCAGGGTATCCTCCTCAAAAAGCCGAGTCAGCTCTTCTCTCAGAGCAGAAAGGCAAATATGGGTAAGGTTAACACTTGGCTTACAGCAAACAGACTTCAAACAGATTAGGCCAAGACCAGACCTGCTGCTCGGAGAGCTGCTGTCCACGTGCCAACAATACACAACAGGTGTAAAGACTGAGCACTTCCCAGAAAGTCCAGAAAGAGATCAGCACAAAGAATGCCAAATTACAGAGGTCCACTCTGTCCTCACGTCCTGGGATGCCTCCACAGTAAGTACGTTTTGGGTAAACAAAGCAGGGTTGTCTAGCAAGCAGGCACCCTGTCTGCGCCTCACTTTGCCTAAAAAGCATTACTGGAGCAAGAAAGGATTATATTCTTGACTAATGGATTCATTGTTTGTCTATAAAATGTCAGAAAACTGAGAATATTCACATTAAGATATTCAAGAGCACATCTTCCCACAGCTTTGTCAAATAATGAGTATAATACTTATGACCAAAGCTTCAATGATATGTGGATTCAAAACAAATCCCAAACAATTATTTTTGATAAAAGATTTATTGTTTAAGTAAATGTTTCTGTAAACATCAGGAGTTTCCATAGGTGTTCTGTTCTGTAACATTAAGTCACACCTTGGAAACCTTGTTTGACTATTTTCTGACATTTTAGGCCATTACTTGAGATTTTTCACTTTTTGTTGAATTAAGAAAGCATTAACTAGGAGATATTGGCACCTGTATTTTCCCGTAAGTATATATTTCATCGGTGCACGCTTGTTTTCAAAGGAGACATCTCAAAAATCCCAACAAGCAAGCATCTCTCTCAAAAACAGAGTCTCACTGTCCGCCCTTCTATGAGCACCACTTACACCAACCATAAGACGCACAGAGAGGGCTTTGTTCGTGGTAGTGGGGTATTTTGACTGAGAGGCATGAGAAGACAAAGACGAGAAAAAAATGCAATGTTACGCTACAGTACACATGGCATTTGGAACAACACCTGCCTGCGTACTCTGTCCAGACCCAAAGAGCCTCAAAGCAAAACAAAAAGAAAGAAGAAGCATTCAAAAAGCAATCTTGCCCTTTGGTGAAAACATCCATATAATTCATGGAGACATGCGGAGAATAATGAATACAAGGGGGAGAGTGGACCGCTATAATGGCTTTTCAAACCCGTCAGCTCTGATCCCTTCAGGCAGGGAAAAACATCAAAACCCATCCACACTGGACAGACACTAGAGAGCGGACGTATTTCTGGTGAAAAAAGAAAAAGGGAAGATCGTGTAGTCCTCAATCCAGAATGACCTATACTCTTGAGCACACAGGAAATGGAGAGCAACATAGAAGCCTCAGGGCCACTTGTCTCTGAGGGGAGAAAGTGTTTACAGCAGTCATGCAACTGCCTTTAACAGCTTGTGCTTTAGTTGCACTGGTGGTAAAAGAGCCCGGGAAGAGAGGAATTTACAATCCAGACATAAATCACACAGCCTTTTGCTTTACGTAACACAAAGCAATCTACGTATAGCTTTTTTTGTAGAAACCAGGTCTCACCACATAATGACACTTTCAATCCCTTGAGTCATCCGTGCCATGTCTAAGTCTTTACCTTTACCCCTTGTTTCCATGAGTATAGCTTAATTCTTGTTTCCAGACCTCATCATCAATTTGACTTCAAACCATGAAGGCTCTGTTCAGCGCTAAACATACTGTACCATGGGTAAGCTTCTCTTTAGACTTCATCCAAGTCTAAAGAACGACTGAAGACCTATCTTTTTACATTGGCTGTTGTTTATACTTGAGATGTGTGATGTGGTCTGTTATGTTTGTTCCTTTCGGGACTCGACGTGGTCAGTGTTTTGTTGTTATCGTATTCATGTTTCTGTGGTCTTAATTTGAACTTTTGTTCTTTCTTGTGAGGCTTTCGGTGAAAGGTGCAATACTAAATAAACATATTATTATTATCATTATTAAGTGTGATTTTGGCACTCACCATATACCCTGTCGTGCCACACCATACAAGATATGATCTTGTGACAGGGCTTATGTTATCCAGTACAAGTTAAAGGATGCATGAATGTAACGGTGCAGTGAGCAGGCGGCTGTCTGCTGATTCTCCGGGTGTTTACACTCTCAGAGCTTTCCCCAGCCGCCGGCAGGGCGCTGCTCTCGTATAACCTGCAGCTATTTCCAACCCGAGTGAGCAGGCAGAACACATCATCACTAATGTTATACCACCAAACAATGCGGCTTATATGAAAGATGGTGTGGGTGCGAGGCTGATTGAGCCTTTTCTCTCTTTATAAACCATCAGGAACTTAAACTAAGTAACCAACAAGGCTTCTGTTTATAAACACACTGAACAAAAGATGGAAATTGACCTTGATTTGAAAAAAGAGGCAACGTGATAAAATCTTCACATTTTCTTCCTGGCTGAATTGCACGCACAGGATCATAGCTGCAATTCATTTATTTTAGACAGCAGCACACATTATTTTCATATTACTCACGCCTGCAATGCTTGCACCTTAATTTCACTTATTTGTCTTTGACGATGAGCCAAAAAGCAATACAACACTGAAGTGCACACGTGGTACACATAGGGTTAGGTTGTGCAAATCAAAACAGCTGAAGGTTTACACACATTTGCTTTTTTTCAGAGCATATGACATTATCGTCACTCTGTATCAGCAAAACAAGTAAAAGATACTTGAGTTTTATAAGCCAAGTGCTCATTCTAAGTCAATTCCTTGGATTGTTTACTTTTGCTAAAGTAAAGACTGGAACGAAGTGAAATGGAGATTAATTTGGGTTTCCATTAACAGCTGGACAATAATTAACATCTTGAAGGAAACCCCCAGAGTTAAATAAGAAAACAACTTCTTAAACTATCCCACACTTTGGATGTTATAGAAACTGAAGTGTTAATAAACTAATTGGATGCTCAGGCAGAGGTATTAACTGGAGGACAATTCAACAGCTGATCAAATGTCATGGCAGACAGTACACTTTACACAGTTACAGTATGGTTCATCTTGGATAACTGGATTATAGTCGGTTCAAAAGTTTGTCAGCACCACCTCAAGGCCACATCAAAACAGATGAAGTCTAAAGTAAAAAGAGGTGGGCTCTGGGAGTATCTCACTAACCACAATGTCTGGCAGAGGCAGAGTCAGAAACCCACGTCAGAAACCTTTAACCTCCCTTTACATAGCCGGGTCCCACCAAACACCATCGTTGGGTTTTGGTGTAAAACATTAACGTCCCTATGCAATTGTAATGTTAGGATGACCCAAAAACATATGCTCGCGACGTTCTCTCTCCGTTTTAATGTGCAACAAGTGGAAAACTAACTAGCATAGCGTTACTAGCTGGTAAACTGTTGGGATGCTAGAAACCCCAGAAGTCCCAGGACCATTTGGAAAACAATTTCACAGCGGAAAAACTAAAAAAAGTGGCCTTAACCGTTACAACATGAGTCACAGCAGTCCGTTTGTTCCGAATAAACGCCAGCACCTCATAAACCCAAGTTAGAATGCATAACAAATCACAGCCAAAACTTCAACTTACCGGAAGTCTGCTCGACAAGATTTCGGGATTTCCTTCAGTTTGTTTTCTCAACTGTTTACAAAACCTCCACAATGCTCAGTTTCTGAACTTCTCCGTGCCAACCAGTGTTACCCCCGTCCGTCCACATCGCTACGCCATGATGTCGAAGTGTCAGAGCTTGTTAGTTGTTGGAAAACTCGGGACGTCACGGCTGGAAAATCCCGCCCCGCTGCGACCGGGATTGGCCCGTGTGCAGGAACTTTTTACATGACGAGAGTAGTGGTGCATTCAATGTCACATAGGGAAGATCGGACACATGTAATCTCAGTAATAAAGTTAAAGAAGTGTCATTCAAAATAGTACATATCCTGTAAAAAATAAAAAAGAGAGATTTAAAATTGATATTGACTATTCTTGTAATTTCCATGAAGAAACCATTTGTCATTAATTCTCAGTTTTTGTATAGTTTTGGTCTATTGTTTTCTTAACTTAACTTCAGGATGAGGACATTTGTATACACTTTAAAGGTGATGGATTTGATTAAAATGACTTTTTTTTTAAATTATCTTTTGGGTAGAATGTTACATTCACAAGAATTAATTAATGGACTGAGTCTAAAGCAAATTATTTAAGATGTTTCCTCAGAATTACAATAATATGACACCACTATTACAAACAGTAAAAATCACAACCCAATCAAAACCAAATGTATTGATATTTGACTATTTTTTTCTTTTTATATTTCTTTCTTTCTTTATTTTATGTCAATATAATGTTTGATGTTTATATTTTCTTGAGTAAAGGAGATACACAATAGGCCTATATATGGAAGATCGGACAGGAGTGTAACTCCTCACTGTTGATGTCAGAGATGGGCAGGACGCAAATATAATTTTTTGAAAGCCATTCATATTTTCTGTTTATCTGTTTAACCGCAGACTGACAACCCTAAACTTGTCGACCTCAATGACGATGGTATCTTCCACGTTTTGCTTAACATTTAATGCAGCATTCCTCAAAGTCTGGGAGCTGTTCAGAAACAAGCACAGGCGACATCGAGTGGTCTAGAATTGTCAGTGGTGGAAGTAGCATCCACTATCCACAATGTAGTCATACTACTGTGAAAAACAGTCCGATACAAATACATGTTATGAGTTCAATTGTTTTATTTAAATAGAAGTACAGACACATTTACAGCAGTATTACCTCATATGCAGAACATTTGAAATACCCATTGTTGTTACGTATTATATCATTTGATTACATTATTGTCACGTTGTGTTGTAGCTGATCAAGATGAAGATGTTTCAACAACTTATTATTTTAAAGACACATTTTTGTATACACTAATATGTTTTGTCAGTAAATTATTTGTCTGCAAAGTAATTCAAAGTACAATATCTGCATCTAAAATTAAGTGGAAATAAATAATTAAATGACATTAAATGGAAATCCTGGATAATTGCAAAGGTATGCAGGGCAGGTGTTACATTGTACAAGCAGTCAAGGTAAAACAAGAGCTGTTGTAGACATTACAATATGTTTACATGAAACTGATTAAAGGGTTTATAATGGAAGTTTAATAAAAAATTATGAGAAACAACTAAAATGTCATTGTTTTATGATAGCCATACTATTTAATATAGATAGAAAACAAGGCAAATATGAATGCTTTTAATATCATCTCAAGGTAATAAGCCAAGAGCTACATGTTTTAGTGCTTTTCCAGATCTACGGTGTCACAGGGAATGGAAGCTGGGTGCACAAACATCGACATCAGTTAATTTCTTTGCTTCCAGTAAATATAAACCATACGGGTCAACCATGGGTCCCCTAAGCAGGGTCCTTTCCCGGGGGCCGCTCCACCCTCACAGTGTTGGGGTTACATTCCAGCATCTCCCTCATCCAATCATCATCCAGCGCTCCCTCTATGAACTCCTCCAGACTGATGACAGCTAAAGACATAATAGGGACAGACTCTTTTTAATATCATTTAGTTCTACACACTCCTTAATTCATGCCTGCAAGGGTTGTTACAAGAGAGCAAGAGCATGTTAATTAACTACTGTCAATATCATTTTGGAACATAAAATTATAATTGTATACCTAAATAAACCACATAGGAAGAATATTAGTTGTCTATGTTTTTTTTTCAATTTAAGTGTTATATGGACAACATTTACAACTCAAACTTCAGCAAAATATGTTGAAATCATCATGTTTAGTAGATTTACATTTAACATGTGGACATTTCAAATGCTACAGTTTTTATTATTTTATGCATTACCTCATTTCTACTCGGTTCATAACCTTTGAAAAAGGCAATTTGAGCTATTTTTTCAGAGTTTTCATTTTTAAACAAATTCCATGGAATTTGTTTAAAAATGTACATATGCACTCTTTAAAAACATATATGCAAAAATAATTTCCTTACCATTATTGTCTTTATCTAATCGCAGGAATATCCTGTTGGTACATTCTTCAGCTGTAAGTGGGTTGGGTTTGGTTAAATCAGCTGCTACCCCCATCTTATTCACAGCCTGTGAACAAATGAAAACACACGGCACTGAAAGATGATGGGGTATCATCTTAATCTCATGATACATGACAAACAGTGTGACACCAAGATGCACACACAAGCACAAGCACACACACACACACACACACACACACACCTGCATAATCTCCCGCATCTCCTCCCGAGTGATGGCTCCATCTCTGTCTTTGTCATAGAGCTTAAACGACCACCGCAGCTTTTCCACAGCAGAGCCTTCAACCAGCATGCTGATGGCCATGACGTACTCCCTGAAATCCACCACCCCGTCCTGAAGAGAAGCACTTTCATTATCATCTTGTATTGTTATTAACTCCTAATTATTTTTCAACATTATAAAGTGTTCAGGGTTGCATTATCGAAAAATCTGGCCATCATTTTTTTCTCAACTAATCAATTAATTGTTCAATCAATACATTTATAGAGAAAACATTTCCTATGTGACATGTGAAATATAGATCTAAAAACCACCTCAGTATTAGCACTTAAAAAGGTATGGCTTATTTAAAGTTGAGGTACCCAAGGATACTGTCTTTTAAAGTTTGTAACTTAATGGTTGTATGCACTTAGAGTAAGTTGCATTGGACACATTTTCAGTTAAATGGGTACCACTTTACAATAAGACAACCCTTATAAAGGATTCATAAAGGGTTTATAATTAGGTTGTAAACACTTTATCAAGCATTAAGCACCATTTATAACCCAGTTCTAACATAGTTTTCATACATCAACACAGGCTCTCTATTTGGCAAGATGACTAAGCCTTATACTGGCTACTTAGCGAGAATCAACTCACTGAGCAACATATACCAAGGATGCTGGCTGATGAAGAAGACGAAGTAAGCTAGGTAGCCAATATAAGACTTAGCAGTACAGATACATGTGGGCTCACTATTTGGCAACCGGTCACAGTTGCCCTGTTTATCTCATGTAAAAGCTTATTAATGATTTATAAAGGGTTCACAACCTAATTAATAAACGAATTACAAACTATTCGTAAACCCTTTATAAGGGTAGTCTTATTGTAAAGTGGTACCGTTAAAGGTAATGTTACATTTCTTTGGATTTGTCAGTAAAAAAAACGAATATATAGTTCAATATAGGAAATCTCCAAATAGCAAGAGGCTGAAAACAGCATATTTCTTTAATGAATAATTACTTATATATTTAATTAGTTAATGGATTAATTAATTAGTTGACTACTTGTTGTAGCCCAAGATATATTTGTTTGATTTATAAATTACAATCATCTTGTGAAGTAGGAAAACTATCCCTCCAGACTTGAGATTCAAAGATTCCATTTTAAGACTAGTGAGATATTTAGCATAAAGTCATAGAATCATTTTCCTACCTCATTATTGTCCAATGTGCGAAATATCTGTTCTGCATACTCAGCTGACTCACTGCCCCCTGTTCCATTGCAGAAATGCTTTTGAAACTCATGAAGAGTGATTAGCCCACTTGGACATTCAATAATAAACTTCCTATCAGAAAAACAAAGAAACAAATGTTTTTTAAAGGAAATAATGTCAGTTATTGTATTACACAAGAAAACACAGAGGGTCTGGGTGAGGGTCAGATCTGTAGCAGGAGAAACATGTCCTTTAAATTCAGAATTAAGAGAATTAAGGTCAACCTATCCCTATAAGCTTGCTTACACCTAGGGACAGTTCTTAGGTAATTTAATTAGGCCAAATGATTTTGAACCACTTTACTATAACATGGCAAAGTAAAGCTAAGCAGCAGTGTATCGTCGTGGAAATAAAGAAGGGCAAGAAACACAATTCCACAGGAAGTACAGAACAAAATAAAGTTACAAAAGGGCAAGTAGATACAATTTAAGATAGACAATTACATTTTCTCTTAAACAATAGCATTCTACAAAACAATTATAATTGTTTTGAATTAGGGTAGTTTCATGGTCATATCCATTACATAAAACCCTTAAGCTGCATCCATACAGTTGAAGCTATGCATGTACATTATAAAGTCAAGTGAAAATATTACCTGTACCATTCGTGCAGCTCCATCACATAAGACCCGCCTCTCCTACAAGGCAGGGTCGCAGCCTGGCCCATTCTGTGAAGGAGCAACAGCTCTGCATTCACTACTCACTTTATACACACACAACAAATCCCAGTTTATGCCGTGCTTTCCTAAGTGCTCCAGCCACCGCCTTATCACATTTGACAAATTACTCAAAGCCAATCTCCTTAGGGGGGAGGAGGGAGGGGGCGGGAGCGGGAAACGTGGGTTCAGTATTAAGCACATGTAATTAAATTACCTATAAAGCTGGTAGCTGCATCACAATCAGCTCACTGAAGACAGAAACATGGGAGAAAAAGTGTTAAAGCCTAATTAAATGTTTGAATTCAGTGTGGCTGTTTAGTGTAGATATATACCCGAGCTTCCTGTTGAGGGTTTAGTAAACTAATATTTATTAACATGACAATGGGAAGACAGCCCAGACATGATGATAGTAGCAGCAATGGACAAATACAGTAAGTGCTTCCACTGGGGTCCAAAGATCAATCAAGAAGGAACTCATAAAGTGGCAGGAAGTTGTACAACGAGTCAGTGACAATCTCCCAGAAGCACAATATAGGCTAAGGGTTAATGTTCTTCCTCCTGCGCAGTGACGCTGTGTCACCACTCCGTCTTCATTTCCCAGGTTTTATGACGAAACACATTTCCACAAAAAAAAAACTGATACAAAGGCGGCATGCAAGAAATCACAAAGCAGGGCAAGAAATCAAAACATAATGTTCACTTACACAATCTGTGAATTTCAAAAGAAGACAAACGCAAAACATGTGACCACTCAGCAGGTTTATCACTCAGTCACCACCAAACAAGCTGAAGTGCAGCTTTCTAGGGAGATTACAGCCACAACAACAGATACAAAAACATAATACAAATTGGACTTCTTGCCTTTGAAAAAGACCAGCCGGTGTCTATGGCACGATTCTGTAGCTCTGCTTGTTTGGTTAGGTATGGGAGACATTCTCCTGTTTTAAGCAAGCTTTCGCTTCAATCATGATGTGCGCAGTGTGCTTCAAGTCAAGCCAATGGTTCAGAGGCTGCCAGGTTGTCTGAGCAGACGTGTCCAAAGGCACCTCGCGTTATTCAAGCATCAGAGAGAAAATAGAGTATTCTTCATGGTTCACAACAACATTTTCAAGATTTCTTACTGGATAGGCTACACCTCAAAAGTCGTCCTCATAGGATGAATATACATTGTGGACCGACACACCAACATGAATGATGGCATGGCCTAAAAGCAACACAGTTCATATGTTCTATACTTGGGAAACACAAACGTTGACTGATCGGTTTACAAATGATAGAGGGTAAGATGCACGTGTTAGAGTTGCAACAATAATTACACAAACATGTCTTACACGCCAAAACAACAGAAAGGGCTGTTTCCAGCCTCTCTTACATGTCCTACTTTCTTTATTATATATATATATATATATATATATATATATATATATATATATATATATAATATATAAACAACTGCATTACTATGGGATTGTTTAGATAAATCTAGCCATTAAAGACATCACCTTGGACTTCAACAAAAATACTAAATATTGTATGGAAAATACTTTAATCTGGCTAACCTATCCCCAAATTGCGTGTGTATAAATTGCTTTGGATAAAGTGTAGGCTAAATATGTAATGTACAAAAAAAAAGTTTTAATGTCGATTATAAAAATAATCATTAGTTGCAGCTCTTACAGATATACAGTCTAAACACTAATGAAAAATACTTAAATGTATGTATACTGATTTAGCTTTTTTCATTTCACAGCCTATTAGACTCCATCAATGTACAACACTCATAATTATTCAGGTAAAAAGGTTTTTGATAAATGTAACATACAATCAAAAGGGTATCAAATAAGAGTGAGGGAATCAATGTGCCAACAGAAAATATCACTGGATTTGTGTATGTTCAAGTTCTTTTCATAACAGTCAGCAAAACAACACAAGGGCTTACATTTTTTTTTAAACGAGCCAATGCAATAGTTTTCTTTAGCTTACATTGTTTAAAAAATATACCACTGTGAGACAAAACATTTGGCAAAGTTACATATCATGTTCTTTACCTTATGAAACCATTAGGCAATCTAATCTATGGGACACCAACACAGAAATCATCACGATGGCTGTAAAAATTTGTTTTTTGGAAAATCCAAAAAACAAAATTCTACATGAGGTAAAATTGCAAAAGGGATCCAAACAACTCGTTCACGTTCTCACCAACTATAATATTACACGGCTTTTGGAGACATGCAAGAGTTGGGAGTAAAAATCACACAGAAAAAAAAACAAGTAACATAGCTTAAAACGAATGGAACAATAGCTCTGCATAGAATAATCCCTTAATAATCATTTGCTAGGGCAGCACAATATATTCTTTTCTTTTTTTACGTCACCGCAATGTCAACTTAAAACCATCGTGAAAGACGGTTGATATTGCACTCAGGGATTTCTTTAGTTAGTCGAACGAGTATAAGTAGAAAACGTGACTTTAAATAGTAAATATTCTTTTGGTGTTCAGTTCAATTTGTTCAATAAAAGAATAATTTCCTGTCATCTTTTCCATTTCAACATGCAATCTGTTGTATTTTAGCAATGTACTGAAAGCAGCAGAAAGGCAGAACAGACTTTAATATCTGTTTATTTAACTCAAGTAATATAGTTATTCAATGTTATCACATATCTTATATTCGAAGTATAGTTGAGTGCCTCTAACAAGCACATACAGTAAAAGTAGAGGAGAAAACCAGCTAGAGCTATGGCTTACCTGAAAGATTATAATGCTGATGATCAGAGTCAGAACACAGACGCAGGTGAACCACTACAGACTAATGACTAGAAGAGTATGTCGGAAAGGATTTCAAACATTGGTGTTTAAATGTGGCAGCTGTTTCCATTACATCCTGAGGTTCAACTTCTACCATCAGACTCAAATATCATATCTTTTTTATAATATAATTTGTAATCAACCAACATGTATTGATTAAAAGTCACAGATTTCCAATGGCTTTGCTGCTCACCGTTGCCAACAGTAACTCCTTTGTGTGGCTTTTCACTTAGCATGAAGTGATTCTGTAGTGCTCAAAAATCAGTTCATGATTTGTCAACCACCAAAAGTTGCTGCTCTCCAACAAATGAGAGGTTGATAATTGATGGCAATAAATGTTAAATGTTTAGAGTTCAGGAAATACAATCCAGGACTATATTAGATGCTTACATACCAACAAAATAAAAATATTCTTCATATGCAAACTGTCCCTTTTAAGATATGGCTTGAAGACATGATGTTTGCAAATCTCATACCAAATCCAGGCTGCTGGACTGTTTCCGTGGAGAGTGTTCAGATACTGACAAGAGAAAATCTCTGAGTGGCCCACCGTTAGGTGACTCTCAAAGCTCGAGGTTATGGAAGTGTGGTTTGCCGCGGTACACTGGCTACCTACGGCTAGCATCCTGAGGGGTCAACGAGACAGGACAGGTTGTCTTTCTAGTATTTTCATTAACATACAGAACCCAATCAAATGACAATCTCTACAAAAAAAAAATCTTAAAAAATCAGTGCAATCTTGTTTTTGTTTGCATCGTCAGGCCCAACCTTTGTTTAAATGTAGGTGGAGGACAAAATCCCAAATCATTTTTAATGGTGTTCATGGGTTATTCAGCCTTGTGAGAGGATGACAGTAGATGTGAGGGACAGCGTGCGAGGGCAGGCCGCTGTAAGGCTTTAGAGGCACATCCTCCTCCTGACGAGGGTCAACAGGTCGATCCCGCTCCCTGTTACAGCAGCCACACAAAGACTACACAGCTTATGTGGCAAAACATAACTCAACTAATAAATAAAAAAAGGAATGCCAAGTCTTAAGAGGGAGCATTCAAGTGTTTTTCAGTGTGCTGCGGTGTCACACAGAGCAGGTTCTATAAGGACCAGTGCATCTCTTCAAAGTCCACGGCCTCGCCCAGGTTGGTGTCCGTCTCCAGGAGGCTCATGATGACCGCCATGGCTGCTTCGTCACTGCCAAGGCCCGGTCCAACCACGCTGTCCAAATCCATCTGGGGATTCTCCCCTGGGAAACATTTAAATAGAGGAGAGAATTAAATACAATTCTATAAACAACTTCGAAGGGAATATAACATCAGGATCTGAAATGGTACCCATGAGAGACTCTGCTCCTGAGAATGTAGCTCCTTGAGCATCCTCCTCTGAGCTGGACTTTCCTGCAATCTCCATGTCTGTCGCCTCTCCGTATGGCACCTAGAGACCAAAAAAAGAGGGAATTATGGCGTCAGCAGCAACATGCATGTTTGACCTGTGCTGGTTAGAAAGTCGCCATCATTTCCAAGTACATATAGCTATGATTGCATTAGTTTAGGTTTGTTCTACCTTGAAAAAAAATCTTTTGTAAGACATTTTTACTGTCAAACATTTCAACAAAGCTTACACTGAAAACCAACATGAACTTTGTTGACTAAATGTCTCCTGATCCCATATTTGCAAACATGCATGATTTTATTAATAGTATAAGTAGTAAAAACAGAGGTCTAATAGAGGTCTATGATTTGATTGATGATAGAAATGTTTTACATATCCATACATGGACACTACACACCTGTTAGGATATAAGTCAGTTCAATTACTTAATATTGGTATTTGCATCATAAATTACACGGAGCATTTTCGGACAAGAGAGAGAATTGGCAATATGTTTTTTCTGACTTTGAGAAACTGGGATGGACATCTTACATTTTTTTTAAATGTTTCCTGAAATGTTATAGATCAAACCGTTTTGAAAATAATTGGGAGATTAGTTGATAACTAAAATAATAGATGCGCCACCTTTTGGACTCGGGCTGAAAATGTTCAGGCATTTTTATGATGGGACAAATGCACCAATGATCACATATTTGAATGTTCAACAACTTACATTGTTGCTGATTTGATTGTGGGGACATTTATCTTGGGATAGACTGAAAGGGCTGCCGCTGCCGCTGGAAGGTGAAGAGTTCATCCTAAACCAACACAGATAAAGATATATTTTTAACTGCACAAAGTAACATCAACAAAAACTGCAGTTCGAGATTAGAAAGATGCTGGCTGAATCGCATTTACACATCTCTCACCTGTTGGAATCCAGCAGCTCGTTGGCGATCTGGGTCCCGATGCTTCCAGCATAAATCATAGCTCCAGGTGTGGTGGAGATGCCTGGTATAACTGGAAGGGACTTCTTGCCATCTTGTAAAAAAAAAAAAAAAAAGGTTACAAATGAAATAAACAGAAGTATGCTAAGGCACAATTTGTATTGTTCAAAGCTAACAATCAGATAAAATCCGTAAATACTTTTTTTACCGACCTTCAGAAGACTTGGAAGTGCTTGACTGTTCAGCCTTGTTTCCTGACCGACAGGTTCGACTGTTATCACACCTAGTTGTTGCAAAAAAAGTTGGAGCGTTGATTAATATACTGCATATCTGTCTCAGGTAATATATCTAGGTAATGCATGGAGGGACTGAAGTGTATACTCACGATATAACTGTGTTTGTTGACACTAAGTATTCCACTTCTTTGGTCCAGGGATTTACAAAACTAAACCACTGACTTTGCAGAGTGACAAAAGAGCCACTTTTTGTTTTGAACTTATAGCAGTTTGTCTCTATTTTTTCTTTACTGCGTAGCACTGTGAAAAAAAACCAAAGGTAGGATGAGTTACAGGCTGAACAGGAAAATAAACGTCAGTATGATCTGCTAGATGCAGATACCACTGTAAGCACAGGAAAAGCGTATAGAAATAGGAGCAATGCATCACAATTTTGCAACAAACTGGAATCAGATTAACAGAAATGTAAAAAAGATTGACCTTTACATCAACACTGGAGCTGTATTGTATTTAAAAAATGTAATGTAACTAGAGTGCTGCAGGAATACATTTGTTAGGTAGATTACTTTGGATTTTGGATTATGGATTATAGCAGAAAATAAGATCCAAACTGTTAACTCATTTTGTGATTTTAGAATGAATTCCTGCATTCATGTATTGACCTACATAGTTAAAGATTGTTCATCATCAAATAATAATAATGCATCGGAGACAATTGGAAAAAAGTCAACGTTTGAGGTCACAGAAAAATGTAATTTGCCTTTTCGGTGTCTGTCAGCTAAATGCGGTAAGTCGTCTTGGTGGAAGTACTCGTAGCATGATGTCCCGAGCAGTTCTTGGGGAAGATAACCAAGAATGGTGGTCGCTCTGCAGAAGAAGAATGAAAAGTAAAGTGTTATTTAAGACATCTTCTGTATTGTTAAAAAAACTGTATGCAATAAACTGTAAAGACATTTTTATTTTTTTTCAACTCCACCTTTGATCGACAAAGGTGAATTTGCCATCCATGGCGTAGCGTGTGATGAACTCTGTGGGTTTAATTCTGACTTCTCCATTAACCTGGGGAGAGGAGTGGGAGTGGACACGTCCCACCGCCACCAAGCAGCTGAAGTGGGAGCTGTCTTGCTTGTCTGCCTCGCCCTCGCCCTCGCCCTCCCCCTCTGCTCCCAACTGAGTGGTGGGCCAGCTGCGCATGTAGCCTGTACAGTGGACCGTGCAGTACTTCTGGGACTCTGGAGTACACAAAGACACAAATCACAATATGCAAAATATAAATAAACTGTGTAACTTGACCCCAAGTCTGACATTGTGGCCACCACATTAGAGAAAATCCAGACAACTGGGACACTCCAAGCTATAGTATGAGTACTACAGTATATTGTTGGTAAGAAACATTTCTCATAACATGATCACCTATATCGCTGTGAAGTCAAATGTTTGTGAAACTTACGCTTGTATTATGAAACGTGATAAATGGAGAACTATGGCCCATTTACTGGGAAGCAGTCACATTTTGGACCTAAATTGCAGTCACTTCACACAGTATCTTTGCTTTATGTTTTCCCTTCAACTCTGCCTGACAGTTTGAGAAACTGCAGTTTACACAAATACTTTTGGTGAATGGAAGCCTTCCTGATAAATTAAATATTAGCTGTTACACAGGGACCCAGATACATTTAAATCCTGAATGTACAAATGTGATTTGATAAATAAACCAAACCACTGAATCGTTTCCCAACCTTTCTTTTTGGAGGTGCTGGCCTGGAATTCCTTCTCCTCTACTTTGACACAAATCTTGTTTATCTTCATGCGACAGAAGAAGGAGCGGCGTGCGCCCGTACACAGCCGCGCCGCACCCACAGGGAGGTCAGCCTGGACCGGCAGACCGGCTGGAGACATGACAGGAGGGTTAAAGGTGATCTCTCCCTCTCTCGCACACACAAGGAAAGATACAAAAATGCTTTACTTTTAGCATCTATTAGCCGTTCACGAGGGAATAATTCAGAGGCTGACAGCTGCTCCTTCACTTTCCCCATGTCCTTTGGGTGAATGTAATCAAACAGGCTCTGTCCAATCAGCTCCGCCTGTAGGAAGAGCAAACAGCTGATCAACCCGCCCTCAATACCATGTCTATACTGATAACGACAAACAATTTCCCCGGAACACACCAGGTAGCGCGTGGAGCAAAGATCAAGCATTTTAAGATTTTAGCAGCAACAAGGGCAACAATTAAAAACAAAACTAATAAAAAAGCCAAAACATTTTATTTTTCATTATCTGGCAGTCACAGTTGTCTGTTCAGAATTACTTTTCAGCAAGCATTTTGAACTGTAATTTGGCTTTTTTTGGGAATATATATAAAAGATCTATCATGATGTAGTATAACAGAGGAAAGTAAGACTAATGTGTTTTGAACCAACAAAAATGAATTCAGTATTTATAAAGTCTAAAAGTTGTGAAATCTGTGCACACAGTTTAAAATGTGATGCTACATATCCACGCTCACGCTGGTGTGTTTTAGTCCATTACCTCTGGTGCCAAGACAATGCAAGCCACCTGGTGTGTCCGTGGTTTCACATGAACAAAGATGCTGAAGATACACTAACAAATGTAAAAGCATTACCCGACTATAATTTAATATCTTCGTGACGGACTCTGAGACGAACACTATTTTCCCACGATCACAGCCCACCACAAACAGGAACCCGTCTGCAGCCTGGACAACAACAGAGAGGCAAAGGGGGACATATTGTAATGCAATAAGAAAACATTGTAACTTCCTCACAGGATATAGTTACGTTTTAATTAAAAGCTACTGTGCACAACTTTTTGTATGTGTATAGTACACTATGCGTATAATATAAGCATAGTGTACTCCGAGGTTGCTCTAGATTTTTTCGCTGCACGTCATTTTGACGGACAGGATCGTAACATTTTCGTCAAAATTCAGTATTACCCGTCGACCTTTACACTCTGGGGGGGGGGGGGGAGAGAGAGAGAGAACTGTCAACCGGGGGGGGAAGAAGCGGTTAACGCGACATCTGAGTGTACTATATACATTTTACACATATAAGTCTTGTTTCTGTCCATTATGGAGATTGGTATATTACGGTGGCCCTGAAGTGCAAGACACTACAGCATTTCAGAAAACACTACAGCATTTCAGAAAACGCTACAGCATTTCAGAAAACGCTACAGCATTTCAGAAAACACTACAGCATTTCAGAAAACACTACAGCATTTCAGAAAACACTACAGCATTTCAGAAAACACTACAGCATTTCAGAAACCACTACAGCATTTCAGAAAACGCTACAGCATTTCAGAAAACACTACAGCATTTCAGAAAACACTACAGCATTTCAGAAAACACTACAGCATTTCAGAAAACACTACAGCATTTCAGAAAACGCTACAGCATTTCAGAAAACACTACAGCATTTCAGAAAACACAACAGCATTTCAGAAAACACAACAGCATTTCAGAAAACGCTACAGCATTTCACATTGGACGGAAAGGGTATTCCTTTAGGGAGAACACTTCTTGTTTGTGATTGGACAGAGCCAGCCAGAGAAGCACTGCTTGTTACTTTGGATTTTAAATAAAATGTTAGTGTTGCAGTTCATGAAAACCATGTAGGAAGCATTTTGACATCCGCCTGGATCCTTCATTTGTACACCATCACATTATTATTGTGGTCTATGGTGTCATTTTATTATGTTTTTAAACTATCATTCATGTTTTGTTGATCTGTACAGACTAAATCAGATAAAACTTGTGATTTTGAGCTACATAAATACAATTTGATCTATATGTTTGAAACACAAGACACATCATATACAAATCAATCCATGCAGTTCAAACAAAGAAAGTATTTGTATTTCGTCAGCTATTGTCATCACCACGTGATGATGTGGCTACCTCCCCTGCTATTCTACCTGGTCGGCTACCTGGTGCTGGGGATCTCCGGGACCGGTGTCGCTCCCGACGCTGAACACCCACAAGACACACCTGCGCTTGATGTGTGGCCTACCCCAGGCACCATGGCTTCCCCGGATTCAGTAAGAGTTTTTGCCATGATGACAACCCCGCTGCTCGCGGAGGACCTTCTCTCATGGACGTCTCATCTACCCGGGGTTCTGCCGCGAGGACTACGCTGTCTATGGGCCCAGGGAAATGGGAGACTTTCCCTCTATGCAGCGCGCACTTGCGACGGCAAGCCGACCAGCCCAGCGAGGAGGACCTGGCTTCTAATTCTCCTACTCCTGATGTTGGATAACCGAATCCAGGCCCAGAACTGTCTCAGCTGCAAACGCCAGAGGAGTTTAGAACGAAAGACGGATTACGTCTTTTTCACCTTAATGTTCGCAGCATGATTAATAAGATGGACTCCATTCAGAATATGGGCCGATTCGACTGACTCTGATATCATTGTCCTTTCTGAGACGTGGCTCAAAAGCCGATTACAAATGATATGATAAATATAAAAGATTACAATGTCTTTAGAACAGACTGTGTGGGAAAAGGGGGCGGGGTTGCGATTTATGTTAAAAACCATTTAGACTGCACCTGCATCGAATCCCTAACAAAACCAAAATGCTTTGAACTCTCTGTAATTAAACTATCGCTCCCAAGTGGTTCAGACATTATAGTGGTCGGATTCTACCGCCCGCCTGCTGCCTCAAGCGAAGCCACGAATACTCTTTCAAGGACACTTGTGACTCTTTGTTTGGTGCAACTAGTTAACTCGCCAACTCGGTTAAACCAAAAAGATTTAGAGAAGTCCACTTTGATTGATGTTATTCTTACAAACGCACCTCACCGTTTCTCCGCAGTAGGCACGTTTTGTAATGATATAAGCGACCACTGCGCAATTGCTTGTGTGAGAACCTGTAAGATCCCTAAAGGAAAGCCATGTTTCATTCACAAGAGGCGATTCAAACATTTCGATGAGCAGGCGTTTCTACATGATGTTTTTAATAGTGATTTGCACATTGTTTCACTTATGACCGATGTTGAGTTAGCATGGAATTATTTTAAATCCACCTTCTTGGCTATATGTGACAAGCATGCTCCTTTTAGGACATCTAGGATAAGCGGTAAAGACAACCCCTGGTTTAATGATTCTATATCCTCTCTCATTCGACAGAGAGACACTGCCTGGGCTAAAGCAAAGAAATCGAATATTCCATTAGATTGGAATCTGTATAGGACATTAAGAAACAAATGCACTAAGCTGATTAAAGACTCTAAATGTACCTACTATCTTAATGCAATACATGACAATTTGAATAACCCTGCAAAGTTTTGGAAACTTGTTAAATCCTCCTCAGGTTCTATCACTCCAAACAGCCTTCCTGATCTCTTAAGGGTAAATCAGAGTGAAATCAAGGGCAAAATGGATATTGCAGACAGCTTTAATTATTATTTTATTTCTGCTGGCTCAATCTTTGATTCTAGCAACTCAGGGATGATCGCTGCAGAAGGAGATCCAGGTCCTCCGCCACTTGACCCTGATCAACTGTTCACCTTTGCCCCCATCTTGACCTCTCAGGTTCACAAAGCTTTAATGAGCCTAGATGTAAAGAAATCTTCAGGCCCAGACAAGATAGAGCCGTTCTTCTTCAAAGTTGCTGCAGGTCTGATTGCAGAACCCATAACCTCTATTTTGAATCTCAGTCTTTGTGCTGGTGAATTGCCTAGCTCATGGAAGTCGGCCATGATTCTCCCCTTTTTAAAGGGCGGAGACCCCTCTGACCTAAATAATTATCGCCCTATTTCCAGACTGTCTGTAATGGCCAAAGTCTTTGAATCTCTTGTAAACGAACAACTGAAAAAGTGTCTAACTGACCATAATATTCTTAACGAGTCTCAGTCAGGCTTCAGATCAGGCCATAGTACTACTTCAGCGGCTATGCTAGTCTCAAATGACATAATTTAAGCACTAGACAAGAAAAAACACTGTGCAGCATTGTTTGTTGATCTGTCTAAAGCTTTTGATTCTGTGGATCATGCATTACTACTGCAGAGGCTTGGCTGCATAGGTCTTGGCAAAATGGCTTTGAGCTGGTTATTATCTGGCTACTATCTATCTGAAAGAACTCTGTGTCTCAGTAGAAGATTATACCTCAGCTGCTCTTACTGTAAACAAAGGTGTTCCACAAGGTTCTATTTTGGCCCCTGTCTTATTCTCCATCTTTATAAATGAACTAGGAAATGGGATAAACCCAGCACGGTTTCATTTATACGCCGATGATACAGTTGTTTACATAGTGGCTTCCTCTTTAACTCAGGCCATAGAGCTACTACAGGATGCTTTTAATACACTGCAACACTCCTAGCTAAGGCTAAGACTGGCCCTTAATGCAAAAAAGACCAAGTACATGACCTTCTCTCGCTCTCGAGCTAATACAGCTGTCCCTCCGATTCTGACACTGGAAGGGACATGCCTTGACAAAGTAGCATCCTACAAATATCTGGGCATATGGATTGATGAAAAGATGGCCTTTGATGTTCATATTGGGAACCTACTGAGAAAACTTAGACCTAAACATGGGCTTTTTCTTCCGTTTAAAGAAATGTTTCCCGTCTGAAGCCAGGAAGAGAATTGTGCAGAGTTCCTTTCTGTCTGTATTAGACTATGGCGATGTGATCTATATGCATGCTCCTTCCTCCCTGCTTAAAAAGCTGGATTCTGCGTACCATACTGCTATACGTTTTGTAACGGGTGCAGGCTCTCGCACTGACCACTGCACTTTGTATCAGTCCCTAGGATGGTCCTCTCTGTACCAAAGAAGACAATCACACATGTTGATTTTTATCCTTAAGTCATTGCTAGGTAAGCTGCCCTTATATATCTCCAGACTTCTGTCCTTTTATACTTGCTTTTTTTAAAATACCAGACGAGCAGCAAATGGGATGCTTTTAAATGTTCCTTTGATGCAGTCAGAGCTTGGTAAAGCTGCATTCTCCCACTATGCTCCCTTTTTATGGAATATGTTGCAAGTAAAACTTTGTCTAGAGGCACTTCCTACTGTAAATGCTTTTAAAGGTATGCTACGATTAGCCCTTCATGAAACATGTAACTGTTTTACCTGATGCTATTGCTGATGTGATTATGCTTCTTGCCACTGCACAAATGGCCTTCTGTATTTATATTTGAATTGTATGTTTTTTGTTTAATGCCCTTGTTTTATGTTGAAACTTGTTGTGTGCCGTGTTGGTCAGGACTACCTGGAAGAAGAGATCTTGTATCTCAATGGGACATTCCTGGATAAATAAAGGATAAATAAATAAAATAAATAAAAACTGCTGTGATTGGTTGTGTTTGCTGCCAGTCAAGAAATGACGCTTCGTGATTGGTCAGCACCTGACAGCGCAATATGTCCCAGCACATCAGCCGTTAGCTGTTAGCACACACTCAGAGCTCACAGCTCCTCATATCTGTTCAGAAACTGGACACAAGTTAAACATGTACAAACCACAGACTGTCTATGTCAGGGGTGCCCAACCAGTCGATCGCGATCGACCGGAGATTCCCAGTCGATCGCGAGATGTGTCTAAAAAAATAGAACAACAATATTCTGTTTTATCGTTAATGTCCTATAACATAATCTTCCTGTGCCAGAATAATGCACATGAACGCATCAAAGCTTTGTGATTGGCCGGCGTGACCCCATGTGTCGGGGCGTGGCTGGTGGGCAGTGGGCAGTATTTCGCTGACATTGTCCGTGTCAACAGGAGTGACAGTCCGCACACACACAAGACCGCAATTATGGCAGAAGCAAAAAAGCCCAAAATATATCATTTTCACTCCGAGTGGGAGGATGATTATTTGTATCTATTCCAATTCAAACTCCATCTGTCTCATCTGCAATGCGAGCGTGGCTTTATCGAAGAAGGGTAATTTAGGAGCGGCATTTTCAAAACAGTGCACAAACGCTACGAGACGGAACTCCCTCCTAATTCTGCCCTACGCTCCCAAAAGGGGAGGGGCCTGAAAGGACAGCTAAATGCACAGCAGTCCATTTTCACCAGGCCCAACAACAAGAGCAAGGCTGCTACCATAGCATCTTATCGTGTCAGTCACGTTCTTGCGAAACACATGAAGTTAGGGCTGTGCAATTAATCATATTTTAATCGCGATTACGGCTTGCGACGATTAGGGAAACAGCATAATTGACAAAATACGATTATTTTGCTGGGTGCGCTTTCGCCCCTCCCTAAAAGCCCACTCGGCCACGTGGGAGTGACATGTGTTGTGAGTGTTCAGCGCAAGCGAAGATGTCAGAACAAGAGCAGCAACTAGTTAAAAAGAAGGGTCGCGGGGAGATTCCCAGTCGATCGCGAGATGTGTCTAAAAATAGAACAACAATATTCTGTTTTATCGTTAATGTCCTGTAACATAATGTTCCCGTGCCAGAATAATGCACTTGAAAGCATCAAAGCTTTGTGATTGGCCGGCCTCACCCCATGTGTCGGGGCGTGGCTGGTGAGCAGTGCACTGGTTCGCTGACGTTGTCCGTGTCAACAGCATGGATGGTCAACAGGAGTGACAGTCCGCACACACACAAGACCACAATTATGGCAGAAGCAAAAAAGCCCAAAATATATAATTTTCACTCCAAGTGGGAGGATCATTATTTTTGTATCTATTCCAATTCAAAGTCCATCTGTCTCATCTGCAATGCGAGCGTGGCTTTATCGAAGAAGGGTAATTTAGGAGCGGCATTTCAAAACAGTGCACAAAGGCTACGAGACGGAATTCCCTCCTAATTCTGCCCTACGCTCCAAAAGGGGCCCAACAACAAGAGCTAGGCTGCTACCAGAGCATTTTATCGTGTCAGTCACGTTCTTGCGAAACACATGAAGTCTTTCGAAGATGGCGAAGTTATGAAAGAAGCTTTCCTGGAGGCTGCGACGCGCTTTTGTGGGACAGTAAAAATAACAGCAGCATTTCAACAGGTTTTTGATATAATAAAAACTCAATTTAGATACCGTTATTAATCTGCTGTAAGTTTTAGTTTGTTTGAATTTATTCATGATAATTATTGTACAAAATGGTATAAGAATGCAAACATTAAGATCTGTTCTGTTTAAATTGATTATAGTCTATTATCAGTTCAGAAACTAGTGTTGCTTGCATCCTATTTTAAAAAAGGCATTTATTTTTATACTCTACTAAAATGCAACAAAAAATGGGTTTGATTCTATTAATGTTGTCTTTTTTATTGCACTGTTGCTGCAGCAGATTCCTGTGTAGCTTCAGATCTGAGTTGTCTTATTAGTAAGCCTAATTTATACTTTTGTAGCAACACTATTTTTATATAATGGCAAAGAAAGGGTTCAGAGTCTTTTCTTTTTTTCCTGTGTCATATGTGGCAGCACTGCCACAAGTTCCTCTTCAGAGAGGGTCTTCAGTACAGGTGGCAATATTGTCACCTGCCTGCTCTCATCTCTGAAACCAGACCATGTAAACAGGCTGGTATTTCTTGCAAAAAATCTTTAAGAGATGACATGAGCAGCCCTACCAGCATTTGTCATGGTGGCCAAAACATTTTTATTTGGTCTTAAATTGTAGTTCAACATTTATTTCCTGTTACTTCTGGACCATGACGGTTGGCCAGCCTTCAACGTTTAACTGAGTGGAATATGTTGAATATGTTTTACCAAAATGTTGGCTATATGTTAAGGAGTTTTTAGTAGGTTGTGACAGTGCACTGCAACATATTTGATTTCATTTATTTTGGTCTAATTTATTTTTATTTATCATATTAATATATGTTTAGTATGGTTTTGGAAGTGCGCTCCAACACATTTATTGATCTTGTTTATTGGTAAAATATCATTTGTTTTAAAGTTCAATAAATGGTCAATGAATAATCGTCAAAATAATCGTGATATCAATTATTGACCCAAATAATCGTGATTATGATTTTTGCCATAATCGCACAGCCCTACATGAAGTCTTTCAAAGATGGCGAAGTTGTGAAAGAAGCATTCCTGGAGGCTGCCGACGCGCTTTTGGGGACAGTAAACAACAACAATAACAGAAGCATTTCAACAGGTTTTTGATATAATAAAAACTTAAGTTGGATACCGTTATTAATCAGCTGTGAGTTTTAGTTTGTTTGAACTTAGTCATTATAATTATTGTACAAAATGGTATAAGAATGCAAACTTAAATTGATTATAGTCTATTATCAATTCAGGTTAAGAAACTGTTGCTTGCATCCTATTTAAAAAAAGGCATTTATTTTTATACTCTACTAAAATGCAACAACAAAGGGTTTGATTCTATTAATTTTGTCTTATTTATTGCACGTTGGCAGCAGATTCCTGTGTAGCTTCAGATCTGAGTTGTCTTATTAGTAAGCCTAATTTATACTTTTGAAGCAACACTATTTTTATATAATGGCAAAGAAAGGGTTCAGCGTCTTTTCTTTTGTTCCTGTGTCATATGTGGCAGCACTGTTCAATGTTTCTTGAAAACATTACCCACTGTAGTATGTGATGTGTGAATAAACTCCAACTCTGTATCAACAACACTGTTGTGTAACTTCATTTAAATACTTGTATGTGTGTAGATTAGAAAGAGGTAAGATACAGGATCTGCAGTATTTTATGAGGTATTAATCGTACAAAGGTCAGTTTTATACAAGTAGAAGTGTGTATTTACCTGGTAGTAGGCTGTCAGTAATGGCTACGCCTCTCTATTTGGACTGGTAGATCTCGGCAGACTGGCAACTTTAAAAGTAGCTCTCGGTTCAAAAAAGGTTGGGCACCCCTGGTCTATGTCATGGCGAATACAGTCGCTGCTTTATTTATGTCTGTATGACGTTTTTGTGAGTGTGGACCAAGCGGCAAACTCTGGGGAAGAGCCGGGACGCTAATACGGAAGTGTCTCAAACTGCAGTTCCTCTAGTGGCCAGTAGGAGCAGGCTGCAGAAGGGAGCAATTTCCATAGACCCCCATGTTAAAATGCCCAACTTTACAGCAGAAATAAACATGTTTACATCGTGGGTCAAAAAACCATATTCTCTGTATAGTTAGATTCCCCCTTCATGACTACTGTGTTGGGGGTGAATTTTTTCTCAACTAATCTGTTTAATTAATATTAAGCCTTAAAGCTTTTGCATAAATTAGGGCGTGGTCACTTTGATGGACATGTACATGCCTCACTGTCAGCAACTTGTCCACTCTGCTAGGCTACAACCAAAGAGGCTACAACGTTAGTTAGTTGTAGTTACTGTACTTGACCCTTTAGCCGTGTTCGTGGTGATTGTGCCTTTTAGGGAATATTGTTACAAATACCAGACAATTAAAATGTTGTGCTGTGCGCTTGAATGTACTAACAGAACTCCCAAGAAGTCTAAAATGATAATATTATACATGTTAACCCCGTTCGCAGGTGTTTGTGTGCTTGGTAGCTTAGCTTGCTACTTATTAGCCAGCTAAGGACGTAACCCTTTATACATACATATACATTTTAGTTTATGATTCAGCCTTGGGTAAGACTTTTATAGTCTATGGCTATGACGCCCATAATGCTAAACGGGAGCAAATGTTAATAGGGGACCCAATTATCCCAGTGGTGGCCGCCGGAGCTAACGGAGCCGCAGTGGGCTAGCTCCAGCCGGCGTCCCGGAGCTAGCCCACTGCGGCTCTGTTAGGTCCGGGCGGTGGAGTCCGTCTTTTCTTAACGTGTGAATGACAAGCATTAAGAATAACAAAATATAGCTAATTCTCTTGCAGATTGTCTCATTTGATTAGGAATGTAACGTTTATATAGGGGAACTACACTGTTAGCAGTAACTTGGTATACATGTATTTCATGTTAGCTTAGCTTCTTAGCCTGAGTTAGCTCTGTTTACTTCCAGTTCGGAGGCAGCAGGTCCCGCCTCCGCTCCGCCTCTTTGCCCTTATTTGGAGCAGGCGGGATTAGACTCTGACGTCACAGTCGAGCCGTTAGTGGCCGACTCCGCCTACTAAGGGCTTCTCTGCAACTCTGCAGAATCCTATGGGTGACGTCACGGACACTACGTCCATTTATATATACACAGTCTATGGTGTGGAAGGAGCAGCTACAGGTTAGTTTAGCCTGACCGATCCGATTCCATTCAGAAAACACGCATTTTAAAAGTTTTTCACCTGCCGTTTTGTCTGCAGACTTGTCAAAGCATTAATTCATGGTTTTTATTAACCGGTATCAGTATGTAGTTACTTCGGCATCACTTTGAAACGTGTATTACAATTAAATCACGGTAAAATATGTTCATTTTGTTGTAGTTGGTATCTCCAACTACAACAACTGCCCTGCCCCCTCTCCAGCGCATCTTGTTTGAATGACAGGAGCAAACACAGCTGAGAGCCGCGGTGAAACTCGAGCGATTAGAGTGATGCGAATATTCGGTAGTCTACCATAGTATTTACATGGAGATAAGCCCCTTAAAAACCATGAATTAATAAAGCATTAATTCATGGTTTTTTCGCATCGCTCTAATCGCTCGAGTTTCACCATCGGAATCGGTATCTAAAGATTGAGAAGGTAAAAGATTAGCTCCTCACGTGAGAATGGTTTGTTTACCTTTAGGATAAGGTGTTTGAGTTCATCGTTGGGAAGGAATGAGGGTTTGTAGTTGGCTTCAGAAAAAGAACTTGATGAACCTGAAAATAAAGACAAAGATGTTTCAATGCCACTCCATCAGTAACAAGTACTCACTAATTGAACTGTTCAGATCTAGGAACATGATCAAATTGCCAACTAGAACTACTGCCCTACATTTCTACAGTATGTCTCTGGCAAACAGACATTCCTTTTCTATTAGACATTTGTGTGTAATTGTCATAATTAGCATGAATTGTTCGTTAGGTCACAGTGACTTAGAACTTCAACCACAAAAATGTAATCTGTTCTCTGATCTGATCTCTTTAAATTCCACCTTCAAATAATGTACTTTACAAACTAAACCGTTAGTTTTTCTTACAACCTGACTAATTGTGTGATGCTTATTTCTTGCTATAAATGATGGGCTAAAGAAAATAAAGCCCAAATTGCAATAAACCATGAATCAAGTAAATGCTAAATCGGTGATATCAGGTTGGATTATCTTTAACATGTTACCTTTGAGAGATTTAAGGTGCTGCACGGCCATTCTGAGCACAGTGAGTTTGTCCATCTTACGGGACATGGGGTTACACGTAGGGATCATGGCTGATAGTTTGTCAATGAGATTGTTCATTTTGTCCCTTCTCCTCTTCTCAATTTGGCTGTGTGGTTCCCTGTAGAGACATTAAAGGAGAAACAATCAAGCTGCTTCAAATGAGTTTTGTCCTTTTACTGAAGCATATTCTTAAATGTGACAACAAATATTATTACAAGATTGGCTATAAAATTACAAACAAACAAATATTATCAATGTGGTGGCGTCAAATATAACCAACCTGAAGCATTTCATTTTGACATGTTGGTCCTCACCATCTGACCTGTAGAGCGAAAAAACACAATTTGAAATATTTTTACACCAAGCAATAACAAGCACATGCAGAACAGCACAAAATAAACAGATGAGCTCTGAGAATTGTTAATTAAGCAAACAGCACCCATTGTGGCTCTCGTCCATATCTTCAATGTCCATATCCATGGAGGCAGATTTTGTATCCCTAGGAAGAAAATTCATGACCATCAATAGTAACTAGCAACAATTTAGGTCACTGGATTTAAGAGATTTTCTGTAAGCCATATTAAAGCAATCACACTACTGACTGGTTGTCCACGCTGCCCTTACGCTTCCGGGGCATCTCCATGGTTACGGACATGCCAGCAGCTGAGGCCGGGGTCATCGGGCTGGGCAAGCACACAGAACCACTCTGTTTGTCCTCAACCAGCAGATCTGCTGAAACACATCAACACAATGAGATGTAATTGTTCATAAGGAGGGGGGTTCATTTATTTTGGAAAAACATTCCATTGCACTATTGCATATCACACTATAAATCTGTCAGATTGCACTTTCTCTGATGTAAGCGATAAAGAGTCAAACAGATGCATTGTCATATCCAGAGCTCGCCCAAATAGGATCACAATGTTCTTATTAATAGCTCACAAACAGCCTTGTTGAGCAGTGACTCAGACAATTTTTGATTTGTAGTACTGATACCGTCCACTAGACTCCTAGTTACGTCGCGAGCTGCGTACATTATTTCATTTGGCAGCCAAATACTGCGAAATAATCTGTGACGCGTTTGTGTGTATTGTGTTTGTTTCCCGGGGAAACACTCACAAGAAACACCGGCTGTTGTTATGCCTGCTGTGCCGTTAAATTGCCGCTTGTAATTATGCATTTACAAGTTGTATTTATCATCTGAATTTGGCAAAACAAGTTTAATATTCTAAAAACAAAGACTTTGTTTATTTGAAATCAGATGAAAACAAACTGTCACGGACCCTGCCGTGTTATCTATGATTACTATACGCTTTTCATTAATAATTTCAGCGGGAGGGAGGGGGAGCAGCGCTGAGGAACTGAGGTTACCTACTGTAACCCCAGCTTCTATGAGTATTGGTGTAGCCCTCTAAGGCTATCGCTATTGGGTAATCCCCCCGCGCAGCACTGAACCACTTGTAGTCCACGCCCACCCGCAAGGTGGGCCCCACCCTCGGGCTTCCTTCCGGTATAAATAGGAAGGAGGCCCGACAATCTGCTCCCATACAAAATAACTTTTCTTCAGCTATTCGTAGAGCCAGTGGGGCCCAGCACTTAGAGGGCTGCGCCATTTACTCATAGAAGCTGGGGTTACAGTAGGTAACCTCAGTTCTACTTCGTATATGGCTTCGCCCTCTAAGGCTATCGCTATTGGGTTAAGGGCTAAGCATGATGTAGTCTGCGCCCCGCTGGGTCCGCCCGGTACTAGAAGCACAGACACACCTGCTCAATAACACCCCCTGCCTGTTGTGCCATGCGTAATGGCGCATCACTGTCCCTGGAACATAGCAAAACATGCCTATCTTCCCTGACGGGGTGAAGGCTGGGAACAATACATACCAGCCGCTGTGAGAAAGTAGAGACGAAGGTCCCACCTTGTCCAGCGATCTTAAAGGGGGAACAGCAGCTCTCTGCGTGTCAGACAGGTAGGAGAGCGCCCAGCTGGATCCCTGACGTCACTCACTCTGACCAGGCACTCCGTACAAAGTGTGTCAGAGAGGAATGGGAGACATCACTCAAATAAAAATGAATAAATGAACAGGGGGAAGACCAAGATGCAGCAGTGCAAATATCTTCCACTGACATTCCTCCGCGTGCAAAGCCGTGGAGGAGGAAATTCCTCTGGTGGAGTGCGCATTGATGTGATGTTCTCCGGGGGCTCCACCCCAGAGGAGACATATGCCTGTGACACAGCCAGTGTGACAGCCGTTGTGCAGACAGAGGTTGCCCGATCGAGCCCTCCCTATAGTGCACAAACAGGCGCTGAGAACGGCGTCAGGCCGCCGTGCGCGCCACATAGCACGACAACGCGCGCACCGGACAGAGGAGATGAGATGTGGCTTCTTCCTCCGATTTGTGAGGAGGCGGAAAAAACCCATCCAGGGTGATCACTCTTGACCTGAAGGAGCTTGTGATGACCTTTGGCATAAAGGCTGGGTTAGGGCGTAACACAGCCGAACTGCCATCTCCTTGGATCCGGAGGCATGACGGAGCCACATAGAGAGCAGACAAATCACTCACCCTTTTTGCTGATGTTAGAGCCAAAAGTAGTACTACTTTGGCTGATAACATTTTAAGGGGAACCTGCTCTAAAGGTTCAAATGGGGCTTTGCTTAGTGCTCGTAACACCAAAGCCAAATCCCACTGAGGCACCAGTGCGCGTGATACCGGTCTGAGTCTTCGTACTCCTCGCAGAAAACGTTTCGTCAGGGGGTGACTGAACAACGTCCCTGCTCCGAAACCCACGTGACAAGATGATATGGCAGCCGCATATACCTTGATTGTGTTGAAAGCCAAATTCCTGTCCAACAACAGCTGGAGGAATGACCGCACGTAAGGCAGGGGGCACGTAATGGGGTCCAGGCTTCTTTCTACACACCAACGCTGGAACGCTGCCCACTTGGCTGGCTAAATGTTTGCTCGTCTCTAGTCTTAATATCTGTCCTTGCAAGGACAATTTCAGACTTGATCTGGCCATTAAGTGTTGTGGCATACCGTGTGTCATATGTCCATCTCAAAGTTGCACAGTAACAGCATCACGAGAAACTGATGATAGGATTACTATCCATAATTTGTATTTACTTAAAATACATGTATTATTGTGTTATTAGAGGCTTGTGTATGTATGTAGCAATAGTGAACATTGTGGAAAAAGGTTTGAGTTACCCTTTGCCATCGTTTTTTTACATTCATCAAGTTAATCATACACACACACACACACACACTGGGGATATGGCCATTATTATTCCCAACACAAAAGCTTGATTCAATAACATTCAAGTCACCATGAAACACTTATGTTATTGTAAAAACACACATGCTGATTTAATATCACATGACATGGAATCTATTGAAAAGACGTGACTTTTCAATAAAGACATTGCTCATATTTAATCAAATATTCCCATCAAAACTGAAAAAGCACTAACATCCAATAAAAAGAAGTCCGTCCAACTTGTCCAGTGAAGAAAGGCAGTTCAGGGTGAGTTTGGCGGACATTTTAAATTTAATTTTAAAACTGAATATTCTTGGGTTTCGGATTGACCAAGATATAAAGACATCACCAATGGACAGTTGGGGAAAGTAACTAAGTACATGTATACAATAACTGTACTTAAGTACACTTATGAGGTATTTGTACTTGAGTATTTTCATTTTATATTAGTTTACACTTCTACTCCACAAATTGGAAGCCAAGTGTGTACTTTTAACTCCACTACATGTATTTTACAGAAGTATTTACTAGTTGCTTTATAAATTCTGACTCAAAATAATTAAAAATACACTTTTAAAATATGATTATTTGGTATTGATTAATCCATCCAACACTATAGATACACAATTAAAGTCATGAGTGGGTTAAAAGACAATTCATTGTCAGCAATAAGGAAGGTTTTAGTTCAAAAATATTTCACACTTCCAGCTTTTGCTTTAAAATATAATATTTAACTTTGACTTTAAATTGAATATTTGTACAATGTGGTATTATACTTTTACTGAAGTAAAGAATCTGAATACTTGTTTGCCCATGGATTAGACAAACAACATTTGTAGAAAAATTGATAATGTAAATACTCGTTAGTCGAAGCACAACTTGTGTTTATTTCGACAGAAGAAGGTAAGGTGGTCTTCGACTTCTTGATTTCTGTAATTATAGTGAAAGGGCAGCTAAGTAGATGCTGGACATGTAGAGTAACATTACAGTCACTACGTAAAGACACCATGAAAATGGTACGGCTTACCTTCAGAAACGCTTGCTTGGACCTGGCTAACATTAGACGGTTAGGCCTGAACAGCAACACACATTAATGCTAGTTTGACACACAGTGACAATAGTTCGGTCGGAAAGCAAAGGCTATCAAAGTGTAAACAAAAATGTCTCGACTGTAATGGGCAGTAAAACCGGATAAATTGACGCAGTTGCCGGTAAACAGGCCTAGCTACCGTTGCTAAGCTAACATTCGGCTTGGCTCGTTTATGTTAACGTTAGCAAACACCACACATACAAGATGTTATTAACGATGTCCTTTGTGACAACCCGATGTGTTACGTCAGTCATATTCTGCACATTTCGCTGGCAATATGACAAACAATGTCGTGCAGTGTTAGGTTACATAAATGGCGTAACATTAGAGGGCGAGCTTGCTCTACTGATCTACTGACCTAGTTTTGAAATAGCGCAAAGTTGCGGTCAGGCGGAGAAACATTGACATAAAAACACCACTGCGCTTCTCTCATTTCTTACAAACCGTAATGCAGCTCATACTATGAATCACCAAGTGTACAAACTGGTGGATATGTTTAGTAGCGTTTCAATTACCTGCCGGTTCGCCTCCCACTCTGTCACCGCCACCAGCCGCTGCATTCCTGGCCGACATGGCTGGAGCCGGTGCGCGGGGGACTCCAATGCATGGAGGAGGCGGTGGGCTGACTCTCCGGGATGTTGCTGTGGTAACAGGGCGGGGAGTGGGGGGAGCCGAGACGGTGGCACAAGGTTGAACAACTGCCTTGAATTCCCTAAATGAAGAAAAAAGAGTGAGAGGGCGCACCGAGGTAGCTGTATGCTGTGCAATCAGGGCAGAGTAGAGAAGCGGAGGGAAACAATTCTTCGTCTCCTCCTACCGGCGCACCGGAGTCACCGCTGCAGTTTCACGACTCCCCCTGCAGTGCTCCACCCAATGGCCTCTATGTAGAAATATAGGCCAACATTCAGAGGTAAGAAGTAACTAGCTAAGTATACTAACTCAAGTAACTTGAGTACAACTTTGAGCTACTTGTACTTTACTTGAGTATTTCCATGTAGGCCTAATGCTACACTCATACTCCACGACATTTAAAAGAGAAAGATTGTATTTTTTCTCCTCTACATTTTATTAAACAGCTTTAGCTACTTTAAACAAAATGCAGACTTACTCTTTAAGGCGAGACACCCCAGGTGAACAGGGTACTTTTTTTAACTTAAAGGTATCAGCTAGAAATTTCTCCAGTTAATTACTTACAATAAGGCAATTGTATTTTGTATTACAAGTTTTCTGAAATAGCATGTTTAAATATGCAAATTATCCATTATCTCATTAAATATGCACATATTTTAACACATTTCAGGAATCGAAATCTGAACTTTGGATATAGCCAGATTCAAAATTCTTGTTTCATTTTGTAGTCATATTAGTATCTAAGGCTTTTACAGAAGGGATATTGGATATCTCTTTTTATCACTCCATAAATCAGAAAATACTGTCAACAGCCCTAAAATATCCATTTTCGCCATGTTTTTAGGTATACAATGTTGTATAATTCAGGCTATGAATTATATATGAACAAACCCTTCTGTAAAAGCCTTCATAATATTGATGGGAATATAACTGGAAGGTTTGGTGTATGTACGTGCTACTGAAGTTGAAATTTCGAACTCAGAGTAGGAGAAAAAACTCATTTTGAGAAAACGACCTTTAAAGATTGCAGTGAGGCGCTAGCTAAACCCTCCTGTTCTTTGGATGACAGCTTGCGCATCGACGCACTCCGTGAAGGTATTTCATGTTCAGGGTAAACATTTTTGATATAACCTTGCTTCGTGCAAGTGACAATTGTTGTCGTCTTCTCTGTGAACGTTTTTTTCGCCGTTCTTTTGGCATTTTGAGATTTCAATTTCTAGCTGAAAGCTAACCAGGAAGTGTTTTAGCACACCACGTGACGCATCTGAACGAATCACGTTGTCAGAAATTGACACCAGCCAATGAGATTTCGTTTCTTGGTTTAAGACCCCTTTGTGCTTTCACGATTGGTTGCTGATACAAAGGAAATGACCATATTTGGATCCGATGAGATTGTGCAGGAGAGACACAGCTTTCCAGCGATACCTCTGTTGACATGGTGCACACAGCGGTCGCGGTACTTTATGTTACGTTAGAATGCTAACTTTTGGTGAATTTAGGAGAAATCTACAGACGCAAATAGACAAACTATAGTAAAATAAACACTTAAATGTGTATTTTGTACGTTTTCCTTCCAAAAGCCTGAAAGAAAACATGTTATGGAATCAAAATAGCACAAAATCTCAAAATTGACCAGTACTTGAAAAACGATGTTTTTGCCTGCCGTGTCTCGCCGTCACAAAGAGTAACATTATTAAAATATTTTTACATTAACAGTAAAATGCCACTTGATGCAAAAATATGATCTAGAAGTATATTTATATTAACATATAATGGAAAAAATGTCTGCACTATGATTACTTTTGTACTGTTAAGTAGGATTTTATATGCAGGACTTTTACTTGTAGTGGAGTTAGACAATAATTGGTACTTTTTCTCAAGTAAAGCATCTGATTACTTCTTCCACGACTGCCTACATAGCCTATATATATATGTACAGTCTACTTGCCCCTCGGAAGATCTAAATATCTTCTTATTTACATTTTTATTTTATTTTGATAACAAAAAACATTTTGTAATTAGGCTTCCCTTATCTTCAGGAAATGTTGTACAATATGCACGAAGATTAAAAAACAAAAGAAAATGGGTAAAGAAAATAAATAATTATTACATTTTATATATTCTTAATCCTCGTCTTTCTTAGTGTTTAGTGAAGATTGACAAACAGGCGTAGTGGTGCAATACCGCCACCAACTGGACAACAGCGTGCAACAAAGCTTATGAAGGAAAAAACGCTTTCAAAAACCTCTGATTATTTGAATCAGTTTACAAATATATTGTAATAAATTATTTAAATGTTTTTTTTTTTAAAAGTTCTCTGTTTTTATTTGCCACCAACCGCCCAAGTATATTTCAGATCTGTGGGAAACACTGTTCACCACTACCGACCTATGGTCCAGCCGAACCACACACCCATATTTGAGTCTGACCGTGCATTTTATTGACAGAGAATGGGCCCTGCGAGGCATGTGCCTGCAGACATCGTACTTCCCGGACGACCACACTGGCGAACTAATAGCCCAAGGGTTACAAGACTCGCTGGCCTCCTGGAAGCTTCGAGAAGACCGTCTTGTTTGCATGACTAGGGACAGCGGTTCCAACATGATTAAAGCCTTGAGACTGACTGAGTGGCCCAACCTCCAATGCTTTGGACACAGACTTCACAATGCCATCAGTAAGTGGCTACACAATGCATAACAAAGTGCTACATGTATGTATAAAAACGAATTGAATGGATTGATGCAGTTGCATATTAGGTTCAGTGATGGCTTTAGTGTGGGGGAGGGGAAATGCGAGAAAACCTATCTATTCAGTAAAAAAGTCTGGAGCCTTGATACAGTTATGCATAGTTGCCATAAGTACATAAATAATGTAATACTAGTGTGTGTGCGTGTATGTAGGCTACGCATTAATTAAATTATACTTACAGTGTGAAACATTTTATTTTCTTTGTCAAACAGAATTAAGCTTAATTAAGAAGTGTTAGACTATCATAATGTGTAAGATAATATGTATGCGTGTGTTCCTGTGGACACACTAGGCTATGTGTTAAAGAGAAACACATGCATCAAATAATTTAACACTGTAACCCTCCCTCCTCCCACTGTTTTGTGCTACAGCCATGTCCTTGTATTGTCATACAGTTTTTTCTTGTGTTTGTCTGTCATGGAAAATTTATAATAATATTTAAATCATAAAAAAAATACTATCACAATGTGTGAATGCTGTCCTTGTCACATTGATTAAATGGTTCCATTCTAAAATGTTCCTTTTTGGTTTCTTCCCTTTTTCTTTCCTTTTTACAGTGAATGGTATGAAAGATCCACGGATTGACCGTGCCATCGGGGTTTGCAAAAAGGTTGTAAGTGCCTTTTCCTTCAGTTGGAAGAAGAGAAGAGATATGGCAGTGGTACAGGCTGAGCTCGGTCTACCATCTCACAACCTCATCACCGAGTCCCTAACCAGGTGGGGTTCGAGACAACTGATGGTAGAACGACTGTTGGAACAGGAGAAGGCCATAGCACAGGTCCTGGGAGCAGACAAGAAAAGCAGGCACCTGGTGCCCACCTGGCAGGACATTGACGTGTTGGAGTCAATTAATAAAGCTGTAAGTCCACTGAAGGAATTCACTGATGCCCTATCTGGTGAGGCCTACGTGAGTGTCTCCTACCTCAAACCGGTAATCCACCTGTTAAACAACAGCCTTCTGCAGCCAGAGGAGGGTGAGACCGAGCTCACCAAACAAATCAAGAGCAACATACTCAACTACCTCAACAATAAATACAATGACCCTGTAACACAGGAACTCCTGGACATGGCCTCACTCATGGACCCCCGGTTCCGGACAACCTATATAGCAGATGACGAAGTGGACGGAATCAAGAAAAGAGCTGTTACAGAGCTGATGTCTCTTCCAGCTGAGAAAAGCAAATCCCAGCCGGGCACATCTGCAGGACCTGCACCAAGAAGAAGCTGCTGAACCTGTTACAAAGAAGAAGAAAACTCTAGCAAGCTTCTTCAAGAACAAGACACTGACCGTGTCGTCTACCTCCCAGTCAGAGCAGGACAAAATTGAAGCTGAGCTGTCATCCTATTTGTTGTCGTCTGAGACAGACCCTGATAAAGACCCACTGCAGTGGTGGAAGCTACATGAAGCTAACTTCCCAAGACTGAGTAATCTGGCCAAGAAATATCTCTCCATTCCTGCCACAAGTGCCCCTTCGGAGAGGGTTTTCAGTACGGGGGGGGGACATTGTAACATGCCAAAGAGCATGCCTCAAGCCAGAGGCAGTAGACAGGCTTGTCTTCCTCGCGAAAAACCTGTAGACAACTTCCTAGAAAGTTAAAGGGATGTTATTTTGTTTGAGGGTATTTTTTTATTATTCATTTCATTATCATTATTTATTATTTGTTGTATTTCATTTTACAAGTTTTTTCAGGGATGGCCTACTCAAGAAAAACAAATTTCAGTTTGATTTAAAAAAAATCTTTGCACATTAATGACAGCCAAGTGGTGCTGTTTTTATTTTATTTTTTTTATTCTTGAACAACTGATTTGTTCACATAGGCCTAGACTACTTTTTTTATTGTGTTAATAAAGAAAATATGTATTTCAATGTTGCCTTGGTCTGGTTTGTTTAGAAAAAAACAGAAAAAAATCGAGGTTTAAATCGAAAATTGTCCATTAGTAAGAAAAAAAAAATCGAGATTTTATTTTTAGGCCAAATCGCCCAGCCCTACTTTGAGCACACAATTACTAGAGACCTGATCTAGGGGGTACAACTCTAAAACACCCATATGAAAAAGATCGGTTTACATTTTAATAATCAAACGAGTATATGAACATAACCAATAACTTACCATAGCCAATAACACATAAATGTAACTTATTTTATTTTTGTTGTTCATTCATATCTTATTTTACCAGTTAACATTTATTTATTTATGCATATTTTTGTATCTCTCCAACTTTAAACGATATTTTTGGTTTACTGTCCTATAGTATACATTGGAATGATTTCAAACCTGTTTTTATTTATCCTAATAATTATAAAGGAGTGCCTTGGAAATATGTGTTTACATAATTTGTGGTCAAAACGTTTGAGACCCACTGAGATAATTTAGACTAAAAATCTAAACACTCAGAGAGTCCTTTACCTCACTGAGCCTTTCAGTCTGACAGGAGAGCTCTCCTCCACCCTGGTTGTAGAAACATTTACTTCTTATATCCGTTAGCGCAGCTAGCACTAGATTGATTCTAATAACAACAGCGCCAGTACCAGTGCGCCCTCTCTCTCTCTCCCTCGCTCTCACTCCCACGCTCACACTTTGGCTGTGAGCTGCGGGCGCCTGATGAGCCAACATCCCCCACTTTCATCACTTACAGCGCCCATCGTACAGGGCAAATGAAAAGTGTAACCGGGGTGAAAAGGGTGTTACATTTACTTAATTATGAATGTTGTTACATCAAGGCCGAAAATTAGGATGAGCGTCAATGGTCAAAAATGTTTTTTCCCCTCCCAGAGCTACCAGCGCAGCGCCCCCCAGATCTGGCGCCCTAGGCGACCGCCTTTGTCGCCTATGGCAAAAATCGGCCCTGCCTAGTAGGCCTACATTCAGTGGCAATATCTCAAGATTTAGCAAAAATACACCTTTATTGAATATACAGTAACACGAATACTACAAATCCAAACTGTTAGCCCGGAGTTCATATCTAATTAAATAAGGAATTACAGATTACTGACATTATTTAAGTTTCATTGCATTACTATCAAATGTAAGCTTATTCTACTTGCTCACTACCAAATGTAAGCATATAATACTTACATATGTTAGTTAAGCAATGTGTCAATAATTTTAAGTTAAGTAACTTCACATTATTAAGTTTTAGTCATGTTCGCAATGCATTATGGGAAAGAGAAGGATCTTTTAATGTGCCGCAGCCACGTTTCCAGCTCGCAATTTCTCAGTCGGACGCAACCCCACTTTGAACGACGGACTTGCACCACTTGCACCCTTCCACCGCGCTGTCTACACTTCCAAAGGAAGGACGCTGCACGGCTGCCTTATCTACTGAATCTGGTGAGTGATTTAGCTAACAGGGCTTGGTTGAATTCTCGTACTTTTGGGTGTAACACAGCCAAAGGAAGTATCAACTGGCGGGAACACGGTGTGGGCTTCTCTCGCATTGTTTAAGTACTTGTTAGAGGAAAATAAAATGTTAACAGACTTTGACAGTTACGGATACATTCGAATAATGCTGCCGTTTATTTTCTGAATTAAAGGTCCATTCGTTCCGTGGAACGGACTTTTTATTTTGGCGGAAGCATTACGATCATTTTTAAGTCAATTAAATCATTTAAAAATCGATATTATGAACAATTTTTTTTTTTTTTAGTATGTAGCCGTGTAATAAGAGGTAGAATGTGCTGCTAGGTGGTCATTAGGGGGGGGAATCCCCGCAGTGTGATCATGGAGCCCGCGGAGGGATCTAGATCTTAATAGCGACCGCATTAAGTTTTCATTTGATTTACCTCACTTAACTGCAGCACTTCTACGCTACTGCAGTCAGGCAATGTGTGTTTCCCTCGCTTTTGTTAACTTTTACAGAGCGATAGTAGGCTACGAGGTGCAGATAGTTTTAAACAGATAGTGCTGTACTTTTTTCACTTGTTCGTGTTCACTGAAAGACGTAAAAAAAAAATCCACCCAGTTGCTGTTTTTGTCACCTTTCTTTTAGTCGTGTGAGTCGGACACAAGCGGCAAACTGTGGGGTAGAGCCGGGAAGCCAATACGGAAGTGCCACACACTGCAGTTCATATATTGGCCGATAGGCGATGGCTGCAGAAAGGAGCAATTTCCATAGACCCCCATGTTAAAATGCCCGATTTTACAGCAGAAAAAAACATGTTTCTACCCCTGGCTCCATACATTTTATTATCGATATAGTTAGATTCCACCTTCATGATTATGGATCTGTGAGTGAATTGTTTTCTAACGCGACCCTTTATATTTATATTAGGTCTTAAAGTTTGTGCATACATTAGGGCGTGGTCACTTTGATTGACAGATACGTGCCTCACTGTCAGCTAACAGCAACTTGTCCAATCTGCTAGGCTACAACCATAGAGGCTACAACGTTAGTTAGTTGTAGTTACTGTACTTGATCCTTTAGCTGTGTTCGTGGTGATCGTGCCTGTTAGGGAATATTGTTACAAATACCAGATAATTAAAATGTCGTGCTGTGCGCTTCAATGTACTAACAGATCTTCCAAGAAGTCTACTTTCAGCTTTTTTCGGTGAGTAAAATGATAATATTATACATGTTAACCCCGTTAGCAGGTGTTTGTGTTTGTTAGCTTAGCCTGTTATGTAGCTTATTAGCCAGCTAAGGACGTAACCCTTTATACATATATACAGTTTAGTTTATGATTCAGCCTTGGGTAAGACTTTTATACTATATGGCTATGACGCCCATAATGCTAAACGGGAGCAAATGTTAAAAGGGGTGGGCCGCCGGAGTCCACGCCGCCGAAGCTAACGGGGCTGCAGGGTGCTAGCTCGCTAGCGCGTCCCGGCGGCCGTAGCTAGCACCCTGGGGCTCCGTTAGCTTCGGCCAGCGGCGGAGTCCGGCGTTATAACTGGAGATCAAGGAATGCATCGTAACGCGGACTTGGTTCGCCTGCAGCCCGCTGTAGTATTAGCTAAATAAATGATGTTGAGCAAGGCTTATTAAGCTGAACACCGCCACAATTATTCTGCTATGTATCGGTACTTATTTTATTTTATTAACGTGTGAATGACAAGCATTAAGAATAATACCAAATAGCTAATTATCTTGCAGATTGTCTCGTTTGATTATGAATGTAACGTTTATATAGTGGAACTACACTGTTTTATCAAAACCAAAGTGCCACGCAGTGACTTGGTATGCATGTATTTCAGCAGGAAATGTGCAACCTAGATGACATTTACCAACACAGACTATATAGAAATATTTGTAAAAGTTGTTCATGCGTTACTAAGTGAATGTGGCATTAACCCTCCTGTTGTCTTCGGGTCAAATCTGACCGATTTACTACTTTCATCAATCATGTTTTACATTCGATTGATACTGAGAGCATGTTAGCTTAGCTTCTTAGCCTGAGCTAGGACTCGAACGTCACGCTCGTTGGCAGCAGGTCCCGCCCTGTCCCGCCTCAGCTCCGCCTCTTTGCCCTTATTTGGAGAAGGCGGGAGAAGGCGGGAGTTAGACTCTGACGACACCGTCGAGCCGTTAGTGGCCGACTCCGCCTACTAAGGGCTTCACGGCAACTCTGCAGAATCCTATGGGTGACGTCACGGACCCTACGTCCATTTATATATACAGTCTATGGTCGGACACCACCCCACATTGAACGCCGGACGCTCGAACCCTGCCACCACAGGCTGTCTCAGGCTTCCATCATAGGGAGAGGAGGGTGGCGCTTGGACGGCTGCTTTGTGCTACTACATCAGGTGAGACGCCATTTAGCTAACATTAGCGACCACATTACGTTATCAGATGTTGTTGATTAACGTCCCTTAAAGGTGGGGTATGTAATTTATTTCAGAAACACTTATTGTTATATTCCATGGAATGCTCTTAACATCCCGATAGCAATGCATATATGAAATGCTTTGACAATAAATACATACAAAATGTTCATCTGTGGAAGCCGTAGCGCTGTAAAAAGCACGACCAATCATTTTAGCCGGCCCGGCTAAAATAGCTGGATGGCCTACCTGCCTGTCAGCCTGAGAGGGGTCTGCCTGCAGGTTCCACTCTCAGGAACCTCCACTCTCACGGAGGTGATGAGTCCGCTCACCATGCACTTTGGGTCGGCCTTGGGCAGGCCTTTTGAACCCCCCATCCTGGTTCTCGTAATAGTTGACTTAGCCATTTTTCGCTCAAACCATGGAGGAATGTAACGGGAGTTAACAGGGGACTCTGCCCGCCTCACGAGTGCCTATTTTCGGACACTTTTTGTCACTTTTTCCCCGGTTTTATTAATTTTTCTTTTTTTGGCTATTTCACCCGGTTCCTTCTAAAGGGGACATAGCCCGGTCTCGGGTGTCCCCCTACGGCCTGTGTCCAGCCGTTCCCCCCACCCCCACCCCCACCCCCACCACTCATCCATATATTAACCGATTTTGACAATTCTTGTTGCATTTTTGTCCTCTCTTCTCACTGATAGAATGGCAAACGCGACCCACCATCGGAGGGGCTCCACCGGCCTAGTGCCGGTGTCCTGGCGGTCGGTTCCTCCGAACTGCGGGTTCGACTCTGATGGCCGGGAGGGTGTGCTGCGTCTCTTCCCGGGCCGGGCCGATATGAAGCGTGACCAAGACGCATCGTCTGACTCGGGGGTCCCACCACGGGTCCCGCAGCGGGGTGGAGGTTCCAGGCTGAAACCTCCCCAGGTTTGTTTGTCCTTTTGTGTTCTAAATGTAATGTTCATAAAATGTAGTTATATCCTCATACCTACTTAAATATCTGATTTTATTAAGATATTACTGTGAGAAGTGCACAGAGGCATCTTGAAAAATCAGATGGTGAAGCAAGCAAAAGCTGTCTAAATAAAAAAAATGCACTTATTTGTTTCACCAAGGATGATTTTATTTGACAGTTTTACATGGTTTGTTCTCTTTTGTGTTTCAGGTTTATTGCGAGTTCAACAGAGTGGTGGGGAAAAATCTCAAGGACAACTTCTTCGATGCACTTGACCGTTTCTCTCCGAGCCTGATGGACCTCTTCAGGAAGAAGAAGGGTGTCACTGGCCAATTTCTGTCTGAGCTTTTAAGTCAGACAAAGGTGGGTTTACTTAAGATAACATCTGTCTACCCAATCTCTTTCCTCTCTCCTTGTTCCTCTTCTGTCCCTTTGACTTCCTTCTCATCTCTTCTTTTCTCTCATTTGCTGCTCTTGTCCTGTCAATTTAATTGCATCTCTTCATGTGTCATTGTTTCCTCTTTTCCCTTGTTCATTTTGCTTTGCTCTTGTTTTGTTTCCTATTCTATTCTTTGGTCAAGAAGAAATTATGTTCTCTCCCTTTTCTATTCTCCCATCATGTCATCTCCTTTTGTCCTCTCCTTTACTTTCAAGTATATTTGCAATAAAGTAATTGTGTAGAGTTTGTAGAATGTATTTGATGAATATATGACCATTCTTTGTTATCTCCACTATATTCCAGACCACTGAGCCAACAGACATCAGATGCCTTTGTGTTCGGGGACTGCCAATCATCTTGGGGGATAAGCCTTCTGCCTTCTTCAAGACCTGCACCGTAAGTGACTTTAACCCTTGTGTTATGTTCACATTTTGCACCCTTTGGTAATTTTTGGGTGAAATTGACCCGGGACATTATTCAGACTTTAAAAAAATACGGAACTAAATTTAACTTACACTATTCCTTATATATATTGTCTTTAACTAATTCACCAACAATATAAATGAAATATGATATGTTTTTTAAATATGTATGATGCTTTTCATTATAAACAGTGGAAGCTACTTTTTGGTGGACGATGTAGAATTATCTGTCACTCTTTATTTCTCTGTTAGGATGCGGCTGATAAGGAGGTGTACAGTCAAACTCCACTGGGAATCCTCTGTGTCGGAGAAAATCCTCAGCTCAACCCATCTAGTGTGGCAATCGTCTTGGAGGGGAATGTGGTGATGGATGGACCGGCTAACCTGCCTCAGGCCTTCTGTGTCCTGTTCAGACTCATTTATGCCCTGCAACTGGAGTACCCAAAGTGCATGAAAAACACTTTCCACTTTGTTCAGCAGGTGATATTAAAACTTGGTAAAGTTGAGCTGGCACCCAAAATTCAGACTTTGAAAAATCAGCTTACATTGTGAAACGGGGTTCTGAAAAGTTAGCTACTGTTACATATGGCAAGTATTTAGGCTTCCATATTGCATTTTGTTGTTGTTGCATGTTTGCACTGTTTGACCTATTAAGCTTGTTGGCATTTCCATTTGTGTTTTATTCTATAAACTACTGACAACATCTCTCCCAAAAGTCATTTAGAGCATTTATTTGCAGAAAATTACAACTGGTCAGAATAACAGAGAAAATGCTGTGTTTTCAAACCTCAAATAATGCAAAGAAAACAAGTTCTTCATTATTAAACAACACAATACTAATGTTTGAACTTAGGAAGAGTTCAGAAATCAATATTTGGTGGAATAACCCAGATGTTTCAATAACAGCTTTCAATGCGTCTTGGTTGCTCGCCACCAGTCTGTCACATTGTTGCTGGGTGACTTTATGTCTCTCCTGGCACACAAACTCAAACAGCAATGTGAAAGGTGTTGCAGCCAAGACGCATGAAAGCTGTGATTGCAAATCTGGGTTATTCCACCAATTACTGATTCCTGAGCCCTTCCTATGTTAAAACATTAGTATTGTGTTGTTGAAAAATGAATTTTAAATTGTTTTCTTTGCACTATTCAAGGTCTGAAAACACTCATTTGGTATTTTTTGTAAATAAACGCTCTAAATGAGAATATTTGGAGTTTGGGATAAATGTTGTCAGTCATTAATTTATAGAATAAAACACAAATGTTAATCCAGTTTTTACCAATAGTAAAACGAGAGAAACTGGTAATTTTACAGAGGTCTCTTAATTTTTTCAGAGCTCTACATAAATATATAGATCTATATATCTTTATATATATATATATAGAGATTGCTATTGTTTCATGTGAAAAATGTTCTCAGGAAAATGTATGGTACAATATTTTTGCCACAGTTTGTATAGGAAGCTCAATTTCATTGTATCCAAATGAAACACTCAAGTTTTAATAAAAGGTAAAACTTTATTTTTGTGTCTTTTTTCTTTTTTGTAGTTGACGGAATAAAAAATATAAATACGAAATGTAACCACTTTCAACTAAAAATTCTAAGTTAAATAATTGGAAAAAAACAATTGATATTACACAATATTTTAAGTAAAATCAACTTCACATGAAGTGGATTGTACTTCAAATAACAATTAAAGTCCTTGATTAATTTACTCAAGTTTTCATAATGCTTTACTTAAATTTTTAAAGGCAACCACTTTACGCTATTTTTGTAAGTAGATTCAACTTATCCGGGCTTACAGTGCACATAACAAACAATCAAAAATGAAAAAGGGTCGCCACTTATTATTATTTAATTTTTTTTTAAAAAGTATGTTTTTTGGGGTACCTGGCTGGCGCCCCCTAGCTGCGCCGCCACTAGGGAAACACTGCTGTCATCACGTGATGCGAGGCATGTAGTAGAATGCTATGACATCACGTGAGGCAAGCCATGTACTAGAATACCATGACATCACGCCATGCAAGGCATACATAGAATGGCATGACATCATACGATGATCAAAGGCACGCCATGGCATGACATCACGCCATGCAACAGAGGTAAATAGGCCACCATGAACAAAGGTACACAACTTCTATTAGAAAGACTACCGCAACCTTTGTAGCCACATCAGGATCCCACATAGATTAGTTTTGGTGTTGGAGGACGAACAGGCCATAATCAGAATTACCTTTGCATTGGTTTTTTAAAACAATTTGTTGTTATTGGAAGGGGTTTGAGCACTATCAGAGACATAATGGAAAGAAATGAGCTGTCTCAAGATTCTACCCAGGATGCCCTTTGCGTTAGAGAAAAAAAGGACCCAAATTGCCTCAATATGCCTGAGGAGCCTCCGGGGCCCTCACAAAGGGTTCCTGGAAAAGTGTGTGAACAAATCACACACTTAGTATTTCGGAATGAGCAAGATAAGAGCCATGCAGATGAGCTGGCTAGACTTCAGTCTCTGACTGTGAAAGAAAACGAGGAAAATGAAATCCTGAATATAGTTGTGGAAGATCTTCATGAGCAACTGGAAGAGTCAAGGATGCAAATCTTGATTCAGGAGGACCTAACAACAAAGAAAGAAGGGGACATTTCTGAAAAGATACATGATATGTTGGAGTCAGTGACTGCCTCTCATCAGTTGGAGTTAAGAGAAAGCAGTGAGACAAATATCCAAAACACAAGAAAGCTAGAAGAGGAGAGATTGGCTTTGAGTGAGACAAATGTCAACATTACTGCTGAACTTGACTCTGTGAGAGCACAAAAACAGGCAGAGATAGAACAGTTGAGGCTTGAACGGCTTGATCTTCAGGATAATATCGACTCTCTGAATGCTGAGAGTGAATACAATGCAAAGGAGATGGCTCGACTTCAGTCTCTGACAGTAAAAGAGAGCGAGGAAAATAAAAATGTGAAAACAGCTATGCATGATCTTCAGGACCAACTGGAAGAGGCAAAAATGAAAATCTTGATTCAGGAGGAGCTAACAAGAACAAATGAAGGATACATTGCAGGAAAGCAGATGGTGGAATCTGTGACTGCCTCGCTTCAGTTGGAGTTAAGAGAAAGCAGGGAGTGTTATTACGCAAACATAAGAAAGTCAGAGGAGGAGAATTTGGGTTTGAGAGAACATAACGAAATCATTTTAGCTGAACTTGAATCTCTGAGACAGGCAAAACAGACAGTGACAGATGCGTTGGGGCTTGAAGTGCTTGGTCTTCAGAATAATATCGGCGTTCTTATTGAGGAGAAAAACAGCAATGCACATGAGCTGGCTCGAATTCAGTCTCTGACAGTAAAACAAGACGAGGAGAACAAAAACCTGAAGACAGAAATGGAAGATTATAAGGACCAACTGAGGGATGCTAAAGAACTAATCCTGGTCGATCAGGAGTTATTTACATTGGATCAAACTGAGAAGGCTGAGAATCAGCAACTGCTGGAAACCGAGAAGTTGGCTCTAAGAGAGAGGATTGCAGTTATTACAGATGAATTTGAATCTCTAACAGAGCAAACACAGGCCGAGAATAAACAGTTGGGGCTAGCACTGCTCGATCTTCAGAAAACGGAAGTACTTCTGGATGAGCAGAATGAAAACTTGAAGACAGCTCTGCAAGATGTTCAGCAACAAATGGAGGAGGCTTATCAACAGATTGCTTGGCAGCGGCAAGTAAATAAGGAGCTTAGCATTCTCACAAGCGATTTGAAACAATCACATTTGGATCTTGAAGAACAGATAAAGTTGATGGAACTGAAAATGACGAGAGCCTCCTGGAAATTACACCTAAAAGCTCTATTGAGACGACTCTTGAAGACCAGAGCGATAAAAGCTCTATTGAGACTACTCCTGAAGACCAGAGCGATAAAAGCTCTATTGAGACGACTTCTGAAGACCAGAGCGATAAAAGCTCTATTGAGACGACTCCTGAAGACCAGAGCGATAAAAGCTCTATTGAGACGACTCCTGAAGACCAGAGCGATAAAAGCTCTATTGAGACAACTCCTGAAGACCAGAGCGATAAAAGCTCTATTGAGACGACTTCTGAAGACCAGAGCGATAAAAGCTCTATTGAGACGACTTCTGAAGACCAGAGCGATAAAAGCTCTATTGAGACGACTTCTGAAGACCAGAGCGATAAAAGCTCTATTGAGACGACTCCTGAAGACCAGAGCGATAAAAGCTCTATTGAGACAACTCCTGAAGACCAGAGCGATAAAAGTTCTATTGAGACGACTCCTGAAGACCAGAGCGATACAAGCTCTATTCAGATAGCTCCTGAAGACCAGAGCGATAAAAGCTCTATTGAGATAGCTCCTGAAGACCAGAGCGATAAAAGCTCTATTCAGATAGCTCCTGAAGACCAGAGCGATAAAAGCTCTATTGAGACGACTCCTGAAGACCAGAGCGATAAAAGCTCTATTGAGACAACTCCTGAAGACCAGAGCGATACAAGCTCTATTGAGACGACCCCTACAGACCACAGTATTGAGAGCCTCCCAGAGTCTTCACTTGATGAGGATGAGACCAGAAGTGTGTGGCGTTATGGTTCTAAAGTTCTACTACGTTTTGCAATGCAAGTTGGTATCAGCGCTTTAGTGACTGTCACAGGTGTTATCGTTGCCGCATCAGTGCTTCCCTTCAACTCAGACTGTAACGGCAGCCTGTCAAGCTATGTATGCAGCCACGCAGTACCCCCTCCCTTCTAAATAGCTTTAGCTCAATTATTTATTTATAAATATAAATAATCAATATAATGTGAGATTTATTGATCATTTATATTTATAAATGAAGAGGCGGCTTGATGCTCCCAAGCCAGTACGGGTTTACGCCGGGTGCTCCCGTTTTTTCCCGCAGACACACGCATCATAAAAAAAATGACCAGAGTGATGAGAGCTCTGCTAAGAGAACTCCTTAAGAACAGAGCGATTAGAGCTTTCCAGAGTCCTCGCTTGCTGAGGCTCTGGGACCAGAAGTTTGTGGCGTTGTTGTGCTTAGCGTCGACTAAAGGTAGCTCTGCAAGTTGGCATCAGCGTTTTGGATGCGACTATTTTCAGTGTAATCATGGCCGATTATTTGTTTATAAATATAAATGATCAATATAATGTGATACTTATATTTATAAATGAAGAGGCGGTGTGATGCTCCCAAGCCAGTATGGGTTTACGCCGGGTACTCCCGTTTTTTCCCGCAGACACACATTAACAAAAAAAAAAAGACCACATCAATGAGAGCTCTGCTAAGACAACTCCTAAGGACCAGAGCGACCAGAGCCATAATATTAGCAAAGTGTGTACCAAATGTCCTGAATATCACAGAAACTATCTGTGAGAATCTTTGAATCAGAATCAAAATCAAGTTCATTGCCAAACAATTTAGCATTTAAAAAATAATAGAGATAAGTATTTATACAAAAAGACAATGAACCTTAACAGCTAAAAAACGAAAACACTTGGGACAATGATAATCTGAGAATACATCGCAAACTACAGTGTATAATACTTTAAAGGTCCCATGTCATGGCCATTTATACTCAAATCAAATCAAGTTTTATTTATATAGCACATTTATAAACGATTTTTGGTCGAGCCAAAGTGCTGTACATATAATAAAAATAGCCTACAGTAGAGACACTTTACAGCAAATACAACAGCACAGATTGTTCAGAATATCAGTATGAGAAAAACGACACCCTCTGTCCTTAGACCCTCACATTGTACAAGAAAAAACTTCCAGAGAAAACCCACAGTTTAAGGGGGGAAAATGGGAGAAACCTCAGGGAGAGCAACAGAGGAGGGATCCCTCTCCCAGGACGGACAGACGTGCAATAGATGCCGTGTGTAAATCGAAGAGATAATACATTTTACAGCATATAGACCGAATGTTAGGAAATGCATGTGTCTGTAATAAGAAGATGAATCCACGAGGATGTCAGCTACAATCCTGTGGAAGCCATCAGGGAAGCAGCATGACGAGACCCAAGGCAGGACCGCAGAGACAGATTCAGCCATGACCCGAAGTCCACGACTTAATCCAGAACTCAGGATAGAGGATCCAAGACACAGGACTACAGCAAGAGGATCAGCCTCGACTCCGGATCCCGGCGTAGATATAGATACAAAACAAGAAAAAAGATTTGGCTGGGTTAATCGGAACAAGAGAATACAGACACAGACAGAGAGGGAAAAGGTCATTGGATAAAAGTTATTCTTGATAACCCTCTAGAAAGATCTCATGAACTTCCCCACTCAATCTATCAAGACCCGAGCAGTTCTATTACAGTAGGGATAAGAA